GTGGGTCTGCAGGGCCTGCTCGGCCTTCCTCGCTTTTTATGACCCGGGTGCATTGTGCCCCTGGAGGGGGAGGGGGCGACAGACCTTCCCCCGGCCGAGCCGGGCCGAGCCCGGGACCGGAGCCCCCGGCTGTGGTGTCTTTTAAGCAGCCTCCCCTTCCCGCCTCGCCGTCCTCGGCCCCGCCCTGCCCGGCCGGCAGCCAGCGTGCTTTCCCAGTGTCGCCGTGTTCTGAAAGGCCAATCTCCAAGACCCAAACACCTCGTCCACCCCGACCCTCCGGCCGTGGCTCGGGCCGTGGCTCCGACCCTCCCCCACTCTCATTGGCAGTGTACTGTCTCGCTGCAGCTCGCCAGCGGTGCCTCTCGTTCTGGACGTTCGTTCCGTTCGAAGCTCCAACGGGTTCGTTTTGTCGGCGTGATGGACTCTCTGGCAACACAGGACCGAACTGAGAAACAGATATCGACAATTTCGTTTACCCATTGTCTGGTACGAAACTTCACCACCAAAAACCGAGTCTATATCATTTCTCCTACCTAAATGTTCGCCTACCTGTCTATTTCGCCTACCTATTTTTCGCCTACCTAATAAAAATATTGAATAAAAATATTCAATAAAATATTGCCATTTTTCGCCTACCTATAGTTCGCCTACCTAATAAAAAAATTAAATAAAAATATTCAACAAAAAAACGAAAAAATCGGCGGCAAAAAGTGGCAATACGAAAGTCTCAAGGAGACCCGCCGATCAGCTTCGGTGTTCTTATGGGAACCGGGCCTTCATCCGACGCTCCCTGCCGCGCAATTCGACAGATTAGTGGGTTCGTATTGGGCTGGCCCACCCGAAGTGCGCGCGGTTTCTGTGGTACAGTGAGAGTCCAGATTCAGAGGCCTTACCTCAGAGGGGTCACATTGGGTATTTGAACCCGCGACCCCGAGTGCCGAGTCTAGTCAACTCCTCTACCCTGACCGCTCAGCCACCGAACCAGCTTGTCGGCGGCGATGTCGCAACTCCTCTTGAGCTGCCGTTCGAGAAATCTGGTCCCGAAAAAATGGTAATTTGAGCGGTCTCGAACCCGGGACCTGCTGCTTCCCACATCATGCTCTTAACCACTGAGCCACCGGGACGCCATGGCACCCGCCCTGCCTGCGCTGGTACTCAATCTTCTCTGGATATACCTCCCCAAGCAATTGGTCGCCGAAAAAATTGTGTATACTACCGGTCCCGAACCCGGGACCTGCTGCGTCCCACATCATGCTCTTAACCACTGAGCCACCGGGACGCCATGGCATCCGCCTTGCCTGCGCTGGTACTCAATCTTCTCTGGATATACCTCCCCGAGCAATTGGTCGCCGAAAAAATTGTGTATACTACCGGTCCCGAACCCGGGACCTGCTGCGTCCCACATCATGCTCTTAACCACTGAGCCACCGGGACGCCATGGCACCCGCCCTGCCTGCGCTGGTACTCAATCTTCTCTGGATATACCTCCCCGAGCAATTGGTCGCCGAAAAAATTGTGAATACTACCGGTCCCGAACGCGGGACCTGCCGCTTCCCACATCATGCTCTTAGCCGCTGAGCCACCGGGACGCCATGGCACCCGTCTTGCCAGCGCTGGTACTCAATCCTCTCTGGATAGACCTCGTCAAGAAGTCGGTTGCCTCTGCCGAAAAATATGCTCATGGCACCAGCCTCGAACCCGAGACCTGCCTGACAGGAACGGAGCACTCTAACCACGGCGCTACCAGGTTGCTATGCACGCCACTAACCTAGCGCCAAACTTCAATAGCCACCCATCTTGCTTGATGCTGGACAAATAATAACTTCGGCGATGGGGTGAGCGCTGTGCATAGCAACCAAGTAGCGCAGTGGTTAGAGTGCTGCGTTCCTGACTGGCAGGTCTCGGGTTCGAGACTAGTACCATGACCATATTTTTCGGCAGAGGCAACCGACTTCTTGACGAGGTTTATTCGGAGAGGATTGAGTACCAGCGCTGGCACGGCGGGTGCCATGGCGTCCCGGTGGCTCAGCGGTTAAGAGCATGGTGTGGGAAGCGGCAGGTCCCGGGTTCGGGACCGGTAGTATACACAATTTTTTCGGCGACCAATTGCTTGGGGAGGTATATCCAGAGAAGATTGAGTACCAGCGCAGGCAAGGCGGATGCCATGGCGTCCCGGTGGCTCAGTGGTTAAGAGCATGATGTGGGACGCAGCAGGTCCCGGGTTCGGGACCGGTAGTATACACAATTTTTTCGGCGACCAATTGCTTGGGGAGGTATATCCAGAGAAGATTGAGTACCAGCGCAGGCAGGGCGGGTGCCATGGCGTCCCGGTGGCTCAGTGGTTAAGAGCATGATGTGGGAAGCAGCAGGTCCCGGGTTCGAGACCGCTCAAATTACCATTTTTTCGGGACCAGATTTCTCGAACGGCAGCTCAAGAGGAGTTGCGACATCGCCGCCGACAAGCTGGTTCGGTGGCTGAGCGGTCAGGGTAGAGGAGTTGACTAGACTCGGCACTCGGGGTCGCGGGTTCAAATACCCAATGTGACCCCTCTGAGGTAAGGCCTCTGAATCTGGACTCTCACTGTACCACAGAAACCGCGCGCACTTCGGGTGGGCCAGCCCAATACGAACCCACTAATCTGTCGAATTGCGCGGCAGGGAGCGTCGGATGAAGGCCCGGTTCCCATAAGAACACCGAAGCTGATCGGCGGGTCTCCTTGAGACTTTCGTATTGCCACTTTTTGCCGCCGATTTTTTCGTTTTTTTGTTGAATATTTTTATTTAATTTTTTTATTAGGTAGGCGAACTATAGGTAGGCGAAAAATGGCAATATTTTATTGAATATTTTTATTCAATATTTTTATTAGGTAGGCGAAATATAGGTAGGCGAAATAGACAGGTAGGCGAACATTTAGGTAGGAGAAATGAACAACTCCCCAAAAACCTCCGGGCGGCAAAAACGTCAACACTCCTTGAAGAAAAATCCTTTAAAAAAACCTGCCTTTGATTTAGGACTCTATCGATGCTTCTAGAATTGGTCTGTTGTTGCGGTGTCTGCGGTTGAAAAATTGGCCCGGGCGGGCGTGGTTTATGGGCCCACTGGAGCGGTCGTGCCAATGCTTACAAATAGCGCCAAAGTTCTCCAGTGGTGTCGATCTCTGCCGCGGGACTCGGCGTTCGAGCCCAGCTGTTGCCCCCCCCCCCCGCCTCCTCCCCGTGGCGCGTCGGCTAAATCAACTACCAGGGTATTACGTACCCGTTACGTAATAATTGAACGGCGCTCCCTTTCATTCGGATGGACTCGACTCTCGCGAGGCCCGGCCTGGAAGAAGGGAGCGGCGAGAAAATATTAGCTTTGCCGGCTGCTGATTCCGGAGGATCGCTGTTTGTTTCGTCGCTCCGTCTCTGTCGCACTCGTGGCCGCCGGCCCGTCGGGGTGCGAGAGAGACGGAGTGATCCTTCGGACTGCCGGGGCCGGCGGTGCAGTGGCCCGGGTTGTTGGTGGATCCCCGCTGCACTAGTGTGCGCCAGTGTGGTGGCCCACTGGTGGGTTATCGTGCCCGTTTGGCCAGCGCGGGCTGTGTGGTGTTGGGCAGGGTGTAGGTTGCGGGCGTAATCCCCAGTAAGCACGCCAGCCCCGACGGCAGCGCGCTCTCTGATGGGGTTTTCGGGATGCCGGGCCGTTTTAATGGGCAGCGACGCTTTACTTTCTCGCTGCCAGGAGCAATAACGCATCGCTGGAACAGTTTCCCTCCTTCTTTTCTCTCTGCTGAGAGACAGCGGGGATGCGAAAGACTGGCCCTAACTTTGACCTACTTTTCTCCCGGGCCAGTCCATACTCCGTCCCGGCCGCGCCTCGTAGGACTGGGGCCGTGCGGCACTGCGGCGCCGTGGCACGCCAGTGCAACAGACAGCTCGAAGAGCGCGACAAAGTTTCGACGCTCCCCGGAGGAGCGTGGGAATCTTTTGATGTGTGTTTTACGATAGGCACGTCATGTCGAGTAAGATATTCGCTCTACGGGCGAGAGCAACTGCACTGCGCGCGCTTGCCGAGGGGTGGCCCTGACGTAAAGTGCCCAGCGGTGGAGGGTCAGTTGCGGTAGTAAAGGGACAAGGCTGAAAACACTAGGACACTATCTCTGGACGATACTGAGCAAGATTTTGCATTTTAGATCTCATTTCGTATCAATGTGACCATGGCGTTGACGTCTCCCTCAACAACTTTTCTGACTTTGCGCGCGTTTTCTGTTTCAGCACGGCACCGCCCTCCACACTGATAGGACGGCACAAAGCTCGTCCAGGCGGCGCGGCGCGCGGCGCGGCCAGCATGGCGCCCTGGTCGCCGGGCTGCCTCGCAGCGAGCTGCACGTGCACGCCGTGGCCGGGACACGCTGAGCGGGGCTCCCCGGAGCGGTGCTGACGGCCTCAGCCGGGCCCCCGCACGGCCCGCACGGGGCCAGGACCGTCCGCGGGCGATGTTTCGGCCCGCCCTTGGGCACGCCCCACGCAGGCCCTGACGCCGCCACGCGCGGGGCCCGCTCCAGCTGGGGCCCCCACGGCCTGCGCGTCGCCACCATGGCGGCACACTGCTCCACCGGCACCTCATCGTCGTCGAGGCCGTCGGCGTGCTGCTGCAGGCCAGCAGCCGCCAGGGACTCCGCCACCCCCGCGCCCGTCCTGGCCGACACCCATGACGCCACCCACGTCGACCCCGGTGCCTGCGCCCGGAGGGTCGCCGTCGCCGCCGAGCGCGGCCTGTCCGCTGGCGGGCGGGGCGGCGTCGTCGGCGTGGTGCTCCGCGGCGGCCAGCCGGTGTCGCCGAGGCCGCCGCTCCTCGCTGTACGCGCCGCCCTACAACCTGGGCGGCGCCAACGCGGCCGACGTGGCGCTGGTCTTCCCCCTGCTGCTCGTGCTGCTGCTGGCCCTGCCGCTGGGCGGCCGCGCGCGCGGTGAGACCCTCCCCGACGACGCGGGCCCGGTGGCGCTCGCGGCCGCGCCGTTCCCGCCGCTCGGCGACATGGTGGTGTTCCTCAAGGAGCAGTGCCAGCAGCCCGCCCTCAACCTGCAGGCCCTACAACGCCTCGTCCGGGAGCGCGCGCTCAAGACCGGCGACAAGCTCGCCGTCACCTTCGTGCCCAGGACGGGTAAGGATCACCGTAAATCTCGGCGGCCGCTGCGGTCAAGGACGCCTTGCAGACCGTCGCTCTGCCTCCCTCGCACGTGGACGGGACGCCCCACGAGTGCGAGAGGGACAGAGCGACAGGCGTTGCGACGCGCTGCGGCACCAGTGCCAGCAAACGGGCGCCGTCTGCGCTGCGCCGTGCCGCCGTGCGCCGCCGTCGTGGTGTTTGCGTCCGTGGCGGCGTGGCGGCGGCTGGTGTGTATTGCAAGTCGGACCGCAGCCCCGCTCCGCCTGCTGGTTTTGCTCGCTCCGGATTATCCTCCTGTCTGCCCTTTTTGCGGCGTAGCAGCGCGCAGCAGCGCGGCGCCCTTTCCTTGCCGCGCGGCATTGCTCGCAAGGCGCTGCCAGGGTGCAAAAACGGAGGGGGGGGGGGAATTATACTGAGTGTCGGCCTTTTGCTTGCCGTGCCCCTTTTCCGGTGTGCCGGCACAGTGCCGGTCCATCCATCCAGAAGTTTCCTCCCCTTTCCTCGGAAAAGAAGAGACTCGCCTCTCCGGCGCGCGCGGTATTCAACGAAATGTGACGTGTGTGTCGTATCACGTTGAGACGACGGAGACGGCTTCGCTTGCTTCGCTACGCTGGCGAAGTCGGAGGCTTCACTCAAGGAAAGAGCTACGCTTGAAGAAAGGCGTAAAACTTGTGCCGCTGCGTTTTTGTTTTAACACTGTTCACGTGGAGGCAGTAGGTAACTCAATGCTCGCCCTCACTTTCAAGTACTGCAGGAAAAAAGGAAGTGAATACTGCTCTGACTGAAGATTCCTGAATTTTGACTAAGATTTTGCCCATGTTATCCTATTGGTTGATGAAAAGAACAGGGAGGCGCCAACGGGGCGGCGGGGCCGTCTTTGTGAGGGAGACAGCCCCGAGCAGTCAATGCCCGGCGAGCGGGGACGGGGCGCGACGGGACGGGGTCTTTTTGAGCGTCAAAAGATAATTGGCATGTTCCAAAGTCCCTGCCCTGCGCTGCCTTCGGCCGCCTTGCTGCCTACGCCAGCACACTGCGAGGAAAGCACGAAAAAATCACCCCGGGGCAGTGGCGCGTGTAGTCCTCGGCCATCGGGACAGGCTAGCTAGGGTCGCCGGCCTTTTTTTTTGGCCCCGACTCCCTGAAGCGCCATACGCATCCTCGCCGTTCATTGGTCCGTGGCGCTGATATACATCTGTCTCGGCGGAAAGGAAGATGTGGCAATTTTTAAAAGGAGGAGCTTGGCCGGTGGCATCGGGTATCGGGTTCGCGTCATTTGCGTATCACTTCGGGAGACTGGCCGGGGGGGGGGGGGGGCAGTGGAAAGGGAAGCAGGCGAGACCGATGCGATATTAGATATAAGACCGGATTGATATTATTGAGTTGGGAGACACTGGCGGGAGGATCGGACGAGCGGCAACGAGGAGGGAATGAGGCGCTCAGAGCGAATACACTGTTTGTAAGACGTGGAATAATATGTCGAGGGCGATTGTGTTTGCAGTGTACTGGCCAGTTTTGGCTTGCAATTAACGACCCTGTCTGACACGTGGCCAAAATCTGGTCCATGAATTTTAAAGTCCGCCGCGCGGTTTTGCGCGACGTGTTGACTTTGCCGCTGCCGCGACCCAGGCCCCGCTGACGGACAAACACAAAAGGCAGAAAAAAATGATTTAAAAAAAAAATACAACCGGGCGTTGGCTTTACAGTGCGCACCGTTCAAAAATAGAGAGAAAAACTCTCCTTTGAAACTCGAGCACAGCTTTCGCGCTATGAAAAGGGGGAATTATTTCGCGACACTCTCAGAAATATGAAAGCGTGGAGAAGCGATGAATTGGGACGATCGAGGTGCACAATTCCAAGCAGGCCTTTTCTTTGCGAGGTGCAGTGCAGTGGATTAGATTGAGCAACCTTCCCTCCGTCGGCGCGCGGGTCCGGGGAACCAGCTGGGATAGCACGGAGAGCGTGGCGCGACGGCTGAAGCCGGCCACTCGTTTTCCTGGCTCACGTACCATTTCGATTTCATTCTTGACCGACTTCCGCCATCACCGCTCCCCCCACCGCCCCCCGGGCGCGGCCACGTCGCGGGAGATCCTTGTCAGGTGACCTTTACGGCAATCATTCTGCCTTGATCAGGCTGCCGTGGACGGGGCCGTCACGCGCAAGGATGTACGCGGACCGCCACCATAAACCGATGAAGGGAGGGACAGCCTGGCGACGCCCGCCGCGGAGGCGCAGCGAGGAGCAGTCCGCAGACATCCTCCCACTGTGTGTGTGTGTGTGTGTGTCCGCCCTCATCCCTCTCCGCGACTCCCTTATCTGATCCCCAACTGGGCCGAGCCCTGCCGAGCCCAGCCAGGCCCATTACCTAATGCCCTCTTTTTCCCTACTAACCCATTTTCTCTGCGTCCATATCGGCACCATCTCCGCCTCTTTGACGAAGGGCGCCCGGTTCGACTCTCTATAATGTCCGCCCCTTGCAATGAAAACGGTTTTTTTTCTCTCTTTTTCTGCAGAGCTGTGCGGCCCGGACGAGACGAGCGAGGTGGCGGCGCTGTTGGCGGCCTTCTCGGACAACTCGACGCGCGCCGTGGTGGGCTCCTTCGACGCCAAGGTGTGCGGCATGCTGGACGTGCTGGCCAACATGCACAGCAACAAGATCATCATCACCTGGGGCTGCCCGGAGCAGGTAAACGACACACTCAGAGATTTGTCACATCAAGAACTTTGGTGTGCGGGATCAAACACGAAAACGCGAAAACGAAAACGCGAAAACGAAAACGCTCCGTCTCCCTTCCGCTCGCGGGGCGTCCCGCAAGAGAGCGAGAGAGACAGAGCGAGCCCGCCGTTTTAATTCAATCTCGGGGACCCTTTTACCACCCAGGCCTGCGGGGCCTGCAGAGCACCCAGGTGGGCGGCCGGTGAGGAAAAAACGGTCGCCAGTAGGCTGTGTCCGAAACGGTGCTTCCTCGTTCTGTCTCTCTCGCGCCCCCAGGGACGCCGCATGAGGAAGGGAGACGGAAGGTGGCGCTGGTTCGGACTCTGCCCGCCAGGGGCCAGCCGGCCAGCCCACACGGCCTGCTCCCTGGACCCACCGGCAGAGTGAGAGAGAGAGAGAGAGAGAGAGAGAGAGAGAGAGAGAGAGAGAGAGAGAGAGAGAGAGAGAGAGAGAGAGAGAGAGAGAGAGAGAGAGAGGGATGCCGGAAGCGCTGCGCCGTGTTCGGACTTCCTCGTGGAGGGATGGCCAGCTTGTGCATGCACTCTCAATTTCCCCCTGGCCTGTTTGTTCGAAAGACAAACAAGACGCCCCCGCCCCTACACTGGCCGAACCGAAGCGAACTTTTCCGCAATGTCTTCTCTGCGCTTGAATCAGCGGACTTAAAGTCTGCTTGAATGAAGCTTCAATTTTAGCAGTGTGCCCGTGCAAGCAGGGGATGTTCCCCGCCGAAGTAGCGCAGCGTGGTGTTGGTGTTGAGCGTGTTGACGAGCGTCCTCCCTCCCTTGCAGGAGCTGCTCCCCGGCACGGGCAGCATGTACGACACCAAGCCCCGGGTGCGGCGCCTGCTGCCGCCGCTCGCCGCCATCGTCCAGGGCACCGTCAAGACCGTCACGTTCTACCGGATGCGGACGGCCGCCATCGTCACGAGTGGTGAGTTCCTCGCCGCCGCTCGCACTCATGGAGAGAGCCAGGAACGCCGGATGTGTGGAATCAGTCGGCAGCTTCTCCCTACGGTCCGTAAACGGTGCTTTTCGCCGACGTACACTGCCCGTCTGCCCCTCCTCCTTCCCCCCTGCATGCACCGAGCCGCGCGGCCCCCGCCAAGGTCGGGGCCTCGGCCGAGGGGCACGGGGGCCGCGGAGAGCATGGAGAGCACCGCGGGGATCGAGGCCAGCCTCATGGATTTATGGCAGGTGTGTCTGGGGACGGCAGGGCGGGGCGGGGCGGGGCGGGGCGGGGCGGGGCGGGGCGGTTGGAGCAGCAAGAAGGGCGCAGCCACGCCGCCACTCTCCCTTGTTTTCCCCGCGATTGGCTCCAACGAACCAGGCGAATCCGCAAGGGCATCTCGCTGTCTCCCTCGCTCTCATGGGGCGTCCCGTTCGAGGTCCCGCTCGCGAGAGAGACAGCGTGACTCGCGGCTCTGTTTGGAATCGCCTTGCTGTGGGATCTCGGCCGTGCCGCGCCGCGCCGCGCAGGAGGCTGGAAAGAAGACCCACCAGCTCGCGCATCCTCAGAGCTGTGCCGCGCCTCGCCACGCCCCGCCGCGCCTTGCCGCGCCTTGCCACGCCCTCCGAGGGCGAGGCAGGGAAATTACTTGGAGTTGGCTGAGCAAACCGAGTTACGTCGAGTGGCAAGTTTGGGCCGCCGCGCCTAGAATCGCACCGCAGACCCTCCGCGCCAAACTACACAAAGTTAGCCTCGCGGCAGGTACCCCAGAGGTCATTAATTAGAGTGAAAGAAACAGAAAGACTTGCAGTGGTGCTGCTGCCGTGTCCGCGTGTGTTTGACTGTCTGCGTGTGTTGCGCGTGTACGTGTGAGTCCCGTGTGTGTGCGTGTGTGTGAGTGAGTGTGTCGCGTTGAGATTGCCCGAGACATGTACGGTCCCTTCCCTTCGGCCCCAACGGCCCCCTCGCCCTGTCGCTAACGACCCAGCAGCAGCATAGCGAAGGTCTTCTCCGTTCCACCTTCCGTCCTTCATGCCACTTTTTTCACGCTGTCCCCGCTTCTATCTGGGTTTCCGCGTCTCTCTCTCTCTCTCTCTCTCTCTCTCTCTCTCTCTCTCTCTCTCTCTCTCTCTCTCTCTCTCTCCTCCCTCCCTCCCTCCCTCCCTCCCTCCCTCTCCCAATCCGGGCACGTCCAGCCCCAGGCAGCCGGCAATAAAGGTAGCAGCATAGCACAGTGGAGGGGCAAGCAGGACGGAGGAGCAGGGCTGTTTTCCTTTGAATTCCCAGCCGGGCTGTCTTTTGCGTCGCCGGCCTCGCCGGCCTCGCGACGTACGAGCCGGACCCCGTCACCCGAAAGTATTCGGCTTCGTTTCGGCTGGCTTTGGCTGGCCTCGGTCGGCCTCAGCTGGCTTCGACTTTGGCTTCGCCTGGGCTTTCGGCTCGCCGCTGGCTCGGCTTGTCAGTCCAATAAGACGCCGTGCTTCCAGTCTGTTGGTCGTCTGCAACTTTGCCCGGGAATCGCTCGCATCGAGATCCTCTCTCCTCTCGCCGTTAAGCCTGGGTGAGTAGAGAGGAAGGGGTTGGAGGGGGGAGTAGCGAAGACGCAGCACGCCGAAAACCCAGCGGCACATGCGCCAAAACCTGCAGCCTAGCCTCGCGGCGTGTCTCGTCGGGAGGGGGGACTTTCGATGAGACTCCCCCTCCTTGTTTCCCGTGGCTGGCAGTGAATTGAGTATAAAATTCGCGCTGTATATTGCGCCCGGTACGCGCATGCCCCCACCCCCGTGGCCCACGCCGACCAGGTCCGCAGTCGACATCTACAAGGCCCTCACCCTTCCTAACTCCATTCCTTTCCCGCCCCACCCCCCGTTTTTGACCCATCCCCGTGTTTCCCTGGCCGGCCGGCCCGGGGCTCCCAGACTCCCTGACTAGCAGACTCCCAGGGGCCCGCCAGGAGTTGCCGATCTGACCCAGGTGAGATGGGACGGGACGGCCCCCCTCAAGCCCGCGACAGCGCGACGGCTCGAACCGCGCCCTCGTCGCCCTGTCCCTCTCGCACTCACGGCGCGTCGCGCACGGCGTGCGAGAGAGACGGCGCGAGGAGGGCCCCGTTCGGAATCGACCTACAGCAGACGAGCCACAAACAGATCCGAGCGCACGGCGTTTCAAGCCGCAGAGCGTGGCGCCGCGTGGCGCCGCGTGGCGCTGCGCCTGAGAGGCAGACGGTACCGCCAAACTCGGCGGCGGCCCGCCCCCACCCCCACCGCCACCCCCGCGCCACTGCGTTGCATAAACCCGCTCCCCTGGCTGTGCGCGTTCCCACGTTCGCGTTGCTTTTTTACTCCCCCGGCATGCGTGTACAATGTGCACTGCCGCACACTCTCAGTGCGTTACCATCACTTTTTTGCTCAAAACTGTCAAAAGTTATCCAAAAGTAATTCGCGCGTTTTGTTTCTTTATTCGGCTATTTGATAACGGTGAAGGGCGCGAGTTGAATCTCTTGACGTTGACGGTGGCGATGAGCGAAAACGTGCACGCACAGGCTGAGCCTGATCTTCGTGTCGCTAGCGCCCCTCGCATTGACAGCCCCGGTGCTGGAATGTGGTGGCTGAGGGGGTGGTTGGCGTGGAGCACGACAAAGAAGCGGCCGCCGCGCTGCAGCAGCTCATCGGCCCGGGCATTCTCGGGCTTCTCCAGCCTGGAGGCTCCAGGGCGCGGCCGCGCCGTCCGGTGAAGCCGCGCGGGCCAACGCGCCGCAACAAAAAGGACCACCGCCCGGGGCGGGTGGCGGGGCGGCGGCCTGGGCCTTGGCCGACGAGCCGGCCTAGTAGGTCCGGCGTGGCTCGGGCTCTCCTCCAGCCCGCCGGGGTTTTCAGCCCTCGCCCGATACTCGCGGAATCCCGGTGCCTGAGGCCCGTCGCCCCTCTGTCTCTCTCGCACCCCCAGGGACGCCGCACGAGTGCGAGAGAGACAGAGCGACGCTGCCCCGCTGAGCCCGATTGGCAGCGAGTGCCGTGTATATTGTGTTCCGATGGAGCCCAGGGAAATTTACTGCGGATGACTTTCACCGCCAGGCGGCGCCACTGGCGGGGAGTCCCGGGATTCCGACGTGCGTCACATTGAACTGGAAAGAATGCCATAGTTTGCGCGAGAAAAAGGGGCACACGGGAGAGGGAAACTTTTCCGTTTTCTTTTGTACTCGGTTTCGAACGAGGAATGTTTCTTGCGGGAGCCAGCAGACTCCGGGTCCCGGTTACGGTACCCTTTACCGTCGTCGCTCCATAAATGACTCATTTCCTTTGTGCGTTCGGGGCGGTTCGGGGCGCCCGCCAAAAGCCGAACTGGCTCGTGCTCAGTTACCTCCGACCTCCGACCCGCTCCTCGGCGTGTGCAAGCAACAGGTGCACTCGCGGCATCCACCCCGGCGTGGCGTGGCGGGGCGGGGCGGCGCCCCGGGCTTGGGCTTTAATGAAAATCCTGAGCCGAGACGTCAGCGGCGGAAGGCAATGTGTTATCAGGCCTCGCCCCCTGGCCCCCTCTCGCCGATTCGCCCCCCTCCCCCTCCCCCTCCCCCACCGGCTTTGCCTCGCTTATTTCGCGTGCTAAAGCGCCCGGGAGTTTACCTGGATGGGTGTCACCCTGCAACGCGTTTTATGAGCAGCACACACACACACACACACACACGCGATGGCATCCGCGCGTTGAAGCACGTGCCATTTTGACAGACGCGAGAGGGTGCCGGTGAGGGAGGAGGGGGGGGGGAAGGGGGTGCGGGATGAGAAGCCGAGGGGAGCCGGCCCAGGAATCTGGCAGATTCGCGCTCATCGTTCGTCGTGGTGTCGATCTCTCTTTCTCTTTCTCTCTCTCTCTCTCTCTCTCTCTCTCTCTCTCTCTCTCTCTCTCTCTCTCTCTCTCTCGCCCCCGTGGGAGACGGCCCACGAGTGCGAGACAGATGCTGTCCAGGGACCGAGACGGGCCGGAAACAGTTTAAAGGCATTTGGCCCGTAATACATCACGCCGCGTCGCCCGGCCCGGCCAACCGACTGCCTCGCGCCATTTCGCCCAACAACCATTTTTGCCCGATATATATTCGGAAATATGTATGCGCGGCGCGCTGCCACGCGGGACCGACGCGTGAGCCGGCGACGTGGTGGACCCTACACTCTCTCTCTCTCTCTCTCTCTCTCTCTCTCTCTCTCTCTCTCTCTCTCTCTCTCTCTCTCTCTCCCTCCCTCCCTCCCCCTCTTCCCCCTCTCTCCCCCTTCACCCTGCCCTCCCCTCCAGTCCCGTCCCTGCCATATAAATTGCCCCCTTGGATAAACTGGAAACGAATGGTCGCGCAAATAATTTTGCCGCTGCCGCGCCCTCCAACGCCCCCTTCTGCCCCCCCCCCCTCCCCGCCGCGGGGGCCAAACACTGGGCCGCTGGGGCACCGCGGCATAAAAACGCCGAGACATTCGGCCGCCGCGTGTGTACGTGCCCACGCATGGATGCGTCTGTGTTTGTCGGCTCGCGTGTGCCTGTATGCCCTCTGTGTGTGTGTGTGTGCGCGCGCGCGTGTGTGTGGTCATTCCCGTCGCCGATTTCAACTCGGCTAGTGGGTCGTGCTGATTCTGTTGCCGTGCTGCTGGCTCTGCTGGCTCGCCATTACCGCTGGCACTTCATCCTTTGTGCATGCAGGTACGCGCGTTTTTGTGTGTTTGTGTGTGTGTGTGCACGAGGGCGTTCGCTCGGTGTATTCGCAGGTATCGCGCAGCACCGATAACGCAGTGTGCCCCCGCGGACCGGTTGTGGTTTGTAGCCTCTCCCCCCCTTTCCCCTCCCCGTCCCAGCTCTTGCCCGGTCCAGCCTGGTGTCCGACGGGCCGCACTGGAGCATGATTCATGAGGCACTCCGTTCCGTGTGTGTTTATGTGTAAGAGTGTGTGCATGTGGATGCATGTGTGTGTGTGTGTGCGGACTCATGAAAACGTCACTGCCGCTGGGGCGCACCGCGGCGCACCGTCGCGAAGGGTCAATAAGGGCGTGGGAGACGCGCGTCGCGCAAAAACACACACTTGCCCTGCGGTCGGGGGCGGGCGAGTTTTTGGCCTTTTGGAAAGCACCGATATACGCATTGCCCACGGCCCGGCCAGTGTCGTTGCGTCGGGAACGCCCCGTGTGCTGTGCGTGAAGTCCCTGGGGAATGAGCGTGTTATTTGCAGGCAGAAGTAAGGACTTCCAGACAGGTGATGTGCCGTCGCTGTCGAGCTGGCGAGCGTAGAAGCGTGCGACGGGGCGCCATGTGACTGGTGAGCCCTCCCCAAGTCGCTGCCCCCTCCCCCCTCCCCCCTCCCCCCCCCCCTCCCCCCCCACCCCCTTGGCCGCGCTGGGTTGGCCCGTCCGCCGCGCCCACCGCGCTTAGAAAACGTTTAAAAACCGCGGGGAAAGTTGGGAGGGCGCTGCCGCGCGCTGCTTGCCGCTTCGCGCTCGTCGCGCCAAGCGTCTCATTACTGGCCAAAGTCGCGTCCGCGTTCCGCGAGGCCGAAAAGACTTTCCCTTTTACGACCGGGCCTCGCGAGGGGCCTCGGTCGGGGCGGCGAGGCTCGCGGGGCAGCGAGGTGCACTGTAAGGACGGTTGACAAAATTTCGCAGGCTTCGTGCCGTCGTCGCGAACCCGCTGCCAGTCCGCCAGGCGTTTTGCACACATCTCTGCCTTCAATATATTTTTTGCAAGTTTTCGACAAAAAACATGAATTGATGGAGACGACGGTGATTGTGGAGAGGTAGGCTTGTCATTTCAATCACGGGCTCTGGCCCGGAGGCCTCTTGTGTTCCACGATCCACCTGCGCTGCCCGCCGCCCTCATGACACGCCCCGTCAACGGGCCCTGATGCTTGATGGCGCCTGCCGCGGACGCCCGCGCTTTGTGGACCATGACGCTCTGTCTCTCTCGCACCCCTACGGCACACTCCATGAGAGCGAGAGAGACAGAGGCAGGCCGCGCACAAAGCGCGCCCTCTGCGTGAGCCGCACCAACACGGCCTGCTCCACAAACTGAACAGTGCGCCTGCAGGCTCGCCCCGGGTGGAGTGTGGCGTGCACACTGTTTGGTGTGTACAGTGCGCGTGCGTTTCGTGTGTACGAACGGCCGCGGTGGCGGCCGGCTGAAAGAAGCGGGAACGGAGAGCGGCTTTGAAACGCTTTAAGCTCCAGACTGTTCGGCTCTCAGCCTCCAGCCCTCCGGCCGCGCTGCCGAGAACTAACCACCGGCCGCGCGGCCCGGTAGCGCTTTGACTTCCTGGCAAGTGCTTCGTCTTCTGTCCCTCTCTTCCTCCCTGGGGCCGCCCGTGAGTGCGAGAGAGACGGAGAGCGCTGTTCAGCCCGCAGTGGGATGTCGCGCAGGACATGCTGGGGCCCTGCTGCAGGCCTGCCTGTTGAATGGGTGGCCATGCCGGAGTCGGGTCACGTCGGCGCGTCGTCGCCGAGGTGCGTTTTCCGAGCACCCCGTTCTCGGGGTCCCGCCCCGTCCTGCATCTCATTCGACGTGTCCACGGCGGCGTCCTGGCCCGGCGGCGTCCTGGCCCGGCGGCGTCCTGGCGGGGGTCCTGGAGGAGGGGCGGGCCGGACGGCCTGACTTATGGCCCTGGCTGTCTCCGCTGTCGCCGCGCCCCATTCGATGATGTTATCTGGACGAATAATCTCGCAACTCTCTCCGCCGCCACGGCCACGCCGGGCCACGCCGGGCCACGGCGCCAACTCGCGGCTCGCGCTTATCTCTCTCGGCCCGTGTAGCTCCCTCAGGAAGCACCCCTTTGGCGAGGGCTCGAGAGGGGAGGGGCACCGTGGGCCAGAAGACCGGTGGAGGCGGCCAAAACTCCGGACGTGTTTTGAGCTCCAGAGACGCTAAATGGGACTCGAACCGAACGTGTGACCCCACCAATGGGTTGCTCTCCGAACGAGGAATCCATTGGTGGGGTCACACGTTCGGCTTGAGCCCTGGTTAGTGACTCTGGAGCTCAAAACGCGTCTAGAGTTTTGGCGGCCTCCACCGGTCTTCTGGCCCACTGTGAGGGGGGAGGCCGGCACAACTCGGGCAAATTCCAGCAGAAACAACAATGCACACCGCCAGCCACCCCCAGCCCACCCCACACAGTTTTTCACCGCGACGGTGGTTCCGCTCGGCTGGGTGGAGGTGAATAAGCTGCAGTGCAATGCAATGCATGCATTATGCACGCGTCGTGTCTCAAAACGTTGCGCGGGAAAAAATTAACCGACAACCACAACACACAGCTAGCTGCGCTGGCTGCACCGGGAGCGCCGCTATGCAATAATACAGTGTGCCCCGCAGCCCTGCGCACGCGTGCCGAGCCGGTTCAGCCGGTTCAGCCTGCGTGGTAGGCTGCCGTCTCCGAGAGAGCACGGCGGTGCGCGGCGGGCTTGCCTACCCGCCTTCTTGCAGGCGTTTCGCTCGCTGGGGCATCGCCATTGGGCATCGCCATTGGGCGTCCCCATTGGGAATCCCCACCCTCTCTGAGCACGGTGGGAAGCGCTGCCAAGGTGGCAGCGGGTGGCAGTGCAATCCAAGTTGACTCGGCAATTATTCATGTTTCTCAAATCTTTATTTCATCGCTCTTTTTTTCTCCGCCGCTTATATATCTCGCCCTTTGGCCGGCAGGGCGTTTTCGTTTCAATTCGGGAAGAATTCCGCGGACTCGTTCTGGCGGCCTGGAGGGCAGCGGGCTGAAGCCGAACGTCGTCGCTCTGTCTCCCTCGCTCTTGCGGTGCGCGCCGCTAGGGTGCGAGAGAGACAGGGCGACGAAACGGTTCGCTCTGCAGGCCGCTCAGCCCGCACCGCCCGCTCTTCCGCGGCAACCAGCGACGCACTTTGGCAATCTAACGGCTCAAACTTGGACCCTCTGCGGGGCGCGGCCACAGAGTGGGGGGGTTGGGCGGGGCGGGGCGCCCGGGGAGGCCCAAGCGATCCCAACCCAACCCTTCCCACTGCGTCTTCCCCTCGTATCACCTCTCAGCCAGCCGCGCGCTGTGCCGTAACTCACCGTTTCTAATTTTCGGTCGGCGAATATCGGGCCGCTGCGGGCGGGGCGTGGCGGGGGGCGGGGCGGGGCGGGGCGGGGCGGGGCGGGGCGGAACGGTGTGCTGACGCTAGGCGCGGGGACGCAAAAAGGGGCCGCGGCAGGTGAAGGCCGCCCGTGATTCAATATTCTCACTTATTTCGGTTGCTGCCTGTTGCGTAAGTCGCCGCCTCGCTGCTCGGTGTTGCCGCGAGAGCCGCGAGCCCTGCAGGGCATGCCGCTTCAACTTTGCCCTTGTTCGCAGGTGTGGGCTGGTGGCAGCTGGCGGCGCAGGCCCTGGACCTGGCTCTGCAGGCCGCCGACGTGGAGGTGAAGCACCGGGTGTTCCTGCCGCAAGTGGAGGAGTCCGACGAGGCCATGGAGAAGGCCCTGCTGCCCCTCATCCACGACACCGTGCGAGGTAAGACTGGTCTGGTGTTAGGTGCGTCCGACTATAGCCAGGCGCCGACGGGACGCGACACGAAGCGCGAGAGCGCGGCGCTGGAGATAATCGGACGCGCCTAACACCAGTTCCAACGACGGACGAACTGCGGGCCGCGTGTGCTGGCCGTACTAGGACCGAGTAGTAATTGGGGTCCGCCGTGTGTTTGGTCTGTGGCACTGCCTCGCACACAGGGTGGCACAGCCTGGCACTGCCGTGCGCGCCGGCAAGGCCCCCACCACCCGCCTTGTCCTTGTTGGAGTTTGGGGAGGTTTGCCTGGCGACCACAATGTATACAGTCATCCCGCTGGCACCTCGACGCCCCGCCGCCCACACGCCCACATGTGGACGGACAAAAAGACAGCGCGGATCACTGTCAGGACACTGTCAGGACCACGCCGCTAAGCCTGGCCGCAGCCACGCGTGCGGTTACCAGTGTCGGGGTGGGACTGGACAGTTTCGTGGTGTGGTGGTGCGGTCGCTCAGCTTGCGCGGGCAGACCGGCAGTCCTCACACCGAGGAGATTATTCGGATTCCACCACCACGAGTCGGTCAGCGGCTTCGACGAACCTCTCGTTGACTTTGGTGGACCAGTTTGCCGGACTGACCCGCGGAGTCCGTGTTTCTCCTCGTGTTTCACTGAGACCCGACCACGTGACTTGTCTTGACCCGAAAAACATTGAGAAACCAATGCTGACTTTTTCTTCTTTGCAGTGGTGGTGCTGTGCGTGCCCATGCGGTCGGCGCAGTGGGCCCGGGTGGTGTCGGCCGTGGACCGGCTGGCCCTGGTGGACCTGCCCACCACGGCCCTGCTGGCGCTGCAGCCCACCTCGGCCACGCCCTTCATGATGCACGACCCGTCCCTGCTCGTCCCAGGTACGTCCGTCTCTCTCGCACCGCCACGGCCCGCCTGTCCGTCATTAGCGCGGATTGTCCCGCTCAGGGATGGGCAGTACCTAGGTAAAAGTACCTAGGTACTGTACCTAGGTACTTTTTTCAGTACCTTACAGTACCTAGGTACTGATGTAACAATTGTACCGAATACCGTACCTAGGTATCGGTTTCGAAGTACCGGTACCGAAACGTTTCGGTATTTTTCGGTACTGCGCGTGGAGTGTTGACGGAGCGACGGTTAATGAGATGCGCTAAAACAATTGCGTAGGGGGAGAAAGAATTGGACAAAAAGGATATTTCGGGGAAGAAACAGGGCAGGTCTGGGCACAAGGTCAAGGCAAAAGACCTGCACTCTGAGATGAGACAAAAGATCCATCCCAGCCGAGCGCTGAGGGTTCGTGCCTAAATTGCGTTCTACCGGAACCATCGGCTGCAGCACAATAGGCTTGAGGAAGGTCGGTGAAGGGATGGTCCCTGCTGCTGCAGGACGATTTGGTGTGTCGAATTGACGCGGGATCGTAAACAAAAAATTATAGGGTCATTGACGCAAGAAAGTTAAAAGGAACGAAAACAATTGATGTCCCTTTCGTGATGTGTGATTGATTTTTGTCGTGTTGTGCCCGAATAAATCCACCTATTGAAGCACTGAAAAATACCTAAAAAGTACCTAGGTACTTTTGAGAGTACCGGTAAAGTACCTAGGTACTGGACTTGCTCGAGTACCGAATACAGTACCTAGGTACTGACTTTTCAATTTTACCGGTACAGTACCTAGGTACAGAACCGACAGTACCTTGCCCACCCCTGGTCCCGCTTGCAGTGTAGCCCCGCCATTAGACGCCGTTCTAATTGACGCCCGTCTTGCTGTTAGAGGAGAAGCCGGCGCCCAGGAACCCGGGCCTCACCAAGCCGCCGGCGCCCTCGAGCGCGCCGTCGCCGCTGCCGGCCTACCTCATCAACTACCGGCGGAACGGGTAAGGGCGGCTGCACTGGTGAACAGGAGCGCACACTCCCAGGCTACAGCTAAGCTCCAAGTGTTTTTGCTCAAAGCCATGCGTCGAGAAGAAATCCTCCAGTGTGTCGAGTGTTTCCAAAGCGATCGCCACTCTCGCCGGAGCGATGAAAGAGTACTGTTCGGAGAGGGGCTGCGGCGCGTCGCTTGGACTTCCCTGCCGCGCGGTCCCTCGCGGTGGGGTAGCGCCGCCGGCCCGCGCGGCAGGGGACGCCACCTAGTGGCCCGGCCGCGAACCTCGCGCAGCATCCCCGCTGCAGCGCGCCCCCCCCCCTTTTCCCGTGTTTATAGGCGACCCGGCCCTTGCTTCGGGTCTCATCAAAGCTCCCCCCTTCCCTTTCCCTCTCAGTTTTACACACCACGCCACGCCACGCCACTCGGCCGCAAAAGTGTGCCAGTGTGCCAAATGGAAAAGGGATCCGAGAAAACCTCCCGCGGCGGAGCCACGCGGAGCCATGCGAAGCGAGAAAGCCATCATGAATCATTCATGCCCGGCGCCGGGAAATTGTTTAGGCGCAGTGGCTAAGTAGTGCGGCTCCGGGGGGCCGTGCCGCGACGCCGCGACGCCGCGACCCAACTACTATGCCCCCCGCCCCCTTCTTTCATCCCGGGACTTGAATTCAAATCGCACTCAACAGTTTTACAGCGGAGCCATTTATTTTCGCACTTCCTCGACATTCTACGCCCTTCCTAATCCGACACACTCTGCATGGCGTTTGTTTTCCTCCTTTCACTTGCCTTGTACGCCAGCTGACTGGGCGTTTGTCCGCCAGGCCCACGCTGCCCATGTTCGTGCCGGTGGCGTCCTGGTCGGCCAAGACCAAGATGGCCGTGCTGGTGCTGGCCGCCATGGACCCCGGCCTGCGCATCGACGACGCCTTCCTCAAGACCATGGGCTGCCCCGACGTGTCGTGCCCGCAGCTACCGGTTCGTTCATCCACTCGATAATTTCCTCGTGATTAAAATTTCAAAAAAGTTGAATATGTTTGGATTTTGACTGTTTTCAGGAGCACCTGGAGCTCTGGCACCACATCCAGCGTAGCTGGGACCTGCTGACGCGGACCGGGAAGGAAGCCGCCAAACCTTACCTTCCGCGTGCCCCTTACACCACCGCCGTCCCCGTCATCACCGCTCCCCCCACCACTCCGCTCTCGCCCACTGCCGCCGCCCACCAGGATGCCGTTCACCAGGACGCCGCCACGCCGGTGGCCGCGGCGCGGTCCTCCACCCGCGCCACGACGCGCACCCCCATCGCAACCGCCGCCCCCGCCAGCAACACCAGCATGGCGGTCCGGGGCGCCACGTGGTCGGCGACCCTGGTGGTGGTGGACTGGATCGGCTCGCGGTGGCGGCCGCTGCTCAAGGTGCGCGTGGGCGGTGGCAACGCGTCCGAGGCCCGCGTCGAGGCCCTCACGGCCATGGCGCGCGCCTGGCCGCGCTGGAAGCCCGCGGGCACACCGCAAGCCCTGGCCGACACGGGCTGCGAGTTCGGCGACGAGTCCTCCTGCGGTGAGCAATGAGTTCAGTTGTTATCACCGTTTAAGTTTATTTCAACCTGTGTTTGCTGACAAGCTTCCTCTTCCCCGACAGACGAAGCGAGTTTCTTCAGCGGCTACGGGTTCGTGGCGGCGCTGGTCGCCGTGGCAGCGGTCCTCTTGGGGGGCCTCGTAGTCCTCGCTTCGCACGTCAGGTACGGTGGGGCGACGGTTCGGCCCCTGTGTGGCGCTGTTAAGTGGCGTGTAAACGAAAACAAATGTTTCAGGCAACGTCTGAGGCGCGCCAGGATGTCCCAGGGCCCTGGCAAGATCCTGCTGCAGTCGAGCGACCTGGTCTTCCCCCACGTGCAGCATCAGAGAGGGGTGCGGACAACGCGGGGACTCCCCGTTCCGGTTCGACTCGGACACAATGAGACAGAGGAAGTGAGACGGATTGCGTTGCAGGTGGACGAGGGCATGGAGGCCATGCTGTCGTGCTGGCTGCACCAGCTGCAGGAGTTCGGCGGCCCGGAGGTGGAGAAGACGGACGCGCTCAAGGGCTCCAACGGGTCGCTCAAGTCCGGCCAGCTGCAGGCGCCGCCGTGCGCCGTGGCCGGCAAGAGCCCCGAGTCGTCCGTGTCGGCCGTCAAGAAGAAAGGCGGGCCTGACCCCAAGGCGCGCTACAATGTGAGTCCCCTTCCCTCCCAATTTCCTGAAAGCACCACCAGCGTCTTGGGAGTACGCTTCCGTTGACGTTGGAAACATCCGCCATCCCGCCCTTTAAGGACGCGTGTCCAAATAAATAAGCCTCTCTGTGTGGCAAGGCAACGCGACCGACGAGTCCAACCTCCTTACTCTCGCTCGCTGTCGAAAATAGGGTTGTGCCATTTGTCGTATTAAAGGCGCACCTTCCAGGATGTGGAGCAGGGACGGGGCTTGGCGTTGTCTGCCGGTCCCTTGGCGGCGCGTAATGAATTGGTTCTCCCTCCGCTATGCAGCAGCCCGGCGCAGCCCCTCCCCCTCCTGCTTCCTGTCCCGCTGACAAAGCCTTTGTGTGCCACAGGGTGATTTGGTCCAGCTAAAAGAGCTCCCCGTCGCCGGGGGTTCCTTCGAACTCCGGACCAAAGCCATGGACGTGCTGCTCACTGTAGGTATTCCGTCACGCCGAGGAGGCCTGTGTGCGTCGAAGCAAGTCCATTCCCTAACCTTGTTATCGTGACCGCAGCTCCACGGGCTGCGCCACGAGAACATGAACACCATGCTGGGCTGCCTGCTCGACCCGGCCAGGCCGTCGCTCGTCTTCGAGTGGGGCAGCAGGGGCTCCCTCATGGACGTGCTGGTGCAGGACGACATCAAGCTGGACTGGTCGTTCCGCCTGTCGCTGCTCACCGACCTCGTGCGGGTAACGTTGTTTCCGAACCGCGCCAAATGCATTTCATTCTGTGCCACGCTCCGTGGAGCTCACCCCGTGTCTTTGTTCCGTTTCTGCAGGGAATGAAGTACCTCCACTCCACCCCGATCAAAGTCCACGGCCGCCTGTCGTCGCGCAACTGCGTGGTGGATGCCCGTTGGGTCCTCAAAATCACTGACTTCGGGTTGCCGTGCTTCTACGAGGCGCAGGGCATCACGCCGGCCCCGCAGGACGCCAGAGGTCTGCCTATCTTTAAAAAAAATTAACTGGATAGTTTGAAGATGGTCCCCGTAACCCCGCAACTGCCTTGCTTTTCCAGACTTGCTCTGGACGGCGCCCGAGCTGCTGAGAGACGAAGCCCTGCGTCGCAAAGGCACGCAGCCTGGAGACGTGTACTCCTTCAGTATCGTCATGCAGGAAGTCGTGCTTCGCGGCGAACCGTTCTGCGTCTTGCAGCTCAAGCCAGAAGGTGGGAGCAGGCGCACTTACGAGGGTATGCAGCGGCATACTATTTAAGCACAAGGTCTAGAAAAATAGCGAACACGGGGCACGGTCTAAGGGGGAGTTGTTCATTTCTCCTACCTACATGTTCGCCTACCTGTCTATTTCGCCTACCTATATTTCGCCTACCTAATAAAAATATTGAATAAAAATATTCAATAAAATATTGCCATTTTTCGCCTACCTATAGTTCGCCTACCTAATAAAAAAATTAAATAAAAATATTCAACAAAAAAAACGAAAAAATCGGCGGCAAAAAGTGGCAATACGAAAGTCTCTAGGAGACCCGCCGATCAGCTTCGGTGTTCTTATGGGAACCGGGCCTTCATCCGACGCTCCCTGCCGCGCAATTCGACAGATTAGTGGGTTCGTATTGGGCTGGCCCACCCGAAGTGCGCGCGGTTTCTGTGGTACAGTGAGAGTCCAGATTCAGAGGCCTTACCTCAGAGGGGTCACATTGGGTATTTGAACCCGCGACCCCGAGTGCCGAGTCTAGTCAACTCCTCTACCCTGACCGCTCAGCCACCGAACCAGCTTGTCGGCGGCGATGTCGCAACTCCTCTTGAGCTGCCGTTCGAGAAATCTGGTCCCGAAAAAATGGTACTTTGAGCGGTCTCGAACCCGGGACCTGCTGCTTCCCACATCATGCTCTTAACCACTGAGCCACCGGGACGCCATGGCACCCGCCCTGCCTGCGCTGGTACTCAATCTTCTCTGGATATACCTCCCCAAGCAATTGGTCGCCGAAAAAATTGTGTATACTACCGGTCCCGAACCCGGGACCTGCTGCTTCCCACATCATGCTCTTAGCCACTGAGCCACCGGGGCGCCATGGCACCCGCCCTGCCTGCGCTGGTACTCAATCTTCTCTGGATATACCTCCCCGAGCAATTGGTCGCCGAAAAAATTGTGTATACTACCGGTCCCGAACCCGGGACCTGCCGCTTCCCACATCATGCTCTTAACCGCTGAGCCACCGGGACGCCATGGCACCCGCCTTGCCAGCGCTGGTACTCAATCCTCTCCGAATAAACCTCGTCAAGAAGTCGGTTGCCTCTGCCGAAAAATATGGTCATGGTACTAGTCTCGAACCCGAGACTTGCCAGTCAGGAACGCAGCACTCTAACCACTGCGCTACTTGGTTGCTACGCACAGCGCTCACCCCATCGCCGAAGTTATTATTTGTCCAGCATCAAGCAAGATGGGTGGCTATTGAAGTTTGGCGCTAGGTTAGTGGCGTGCATAGCAACCTGGTAGCGCCGTGGTTAGAGTGCTGCGTTCCTGACTGGCAGGTCTCGGGTTCGAGGCTAGTGCCATGAGCATATTTTTCGGCAGAGGCAACCGACTTCTTGACGAGGTTTATTCGGAGAGGATTGAGTACCAGCGCTGGCAAGGCGGGTGCCATGGCGTCCCGGTGGCTCAGCGGTTAAGAGCATGATGTGGGAAGCGGCAGGTCCCGGGTTCGGGACCGGTAGTATACACAATTTTTTCGGCGACCTATTGCTCGGGGAGGTATATCCAGAGAAGATTGAGTACCAGCGCAGGCAGGGCGGGTGCCATGGCGCCCCGGTGGCTCAGTGGCTAAGAGCATGATGTGGGAAGCAGCAGGTCCCGGGTTCGGGACCGGTAGTATACACAATTTTTTCGGCGACCAATTGCTTGGGGAGGTATATCCAGAGAAGATTGAGTACCAGCGCAGGCAGGGGGGTGCCATGACGCCCCGGTGGCTCAGTGGTTTAAAAGCATGATGTGGGAAGCAGCAGGTCCCGGGTTCGGGACTGGTAGTATACACAATTTTTTCGGCGACCAATTGCTTGGGGAGGTATATCCAGAGAAGATTGAGTACCAGCGCAGGCAGGGCGGGTGCCATGGCGCCCCGGTGGCTCAGTGGTTAAGAGCATGATGTGGGAAGCAGCAGGTCCCGGGTTCGAGACCGCTCAAAGTACCATTTTTTCGGGACCAGATTTCTCGAACGGCAGCTCAAGAGGAGTTGCGACATCGCCGCTGACAAGCTGGTTCGGTGGCTGAGCGGTCAGGGTAGAGGAGTTGACTAGACTCGGCACTCGGGGTCGCGGGGTTTAAATACCCCAAAGTGACCCCTCTGAGGTAAGGCCTCTGAATCTGGACTCTCACTGTACCACAGAAACCGCGCGCACTTCGGGTGGGCCAGCCCAATACGAACCCACTAATCTGTCGAATTGCGCGGCAGGGAGCGTCGGATGAAGGCCCGGTTCCCATAAGAACACCGAAGCTGATCGGCGGGTCTCCTAGAGACTTTCGTATTGCCACTTTTTGCCGCCGATTTTTTCGTTTTTTTGTTGAATATTTTTATTTAATTTTTTTATTAGGTAGGCGAACTATAGGTAGGCGAAAAATGGCAATATTTTATTGAATATTTTTATTCAATATTTTTATTAGGTAGGCGAAATATAGGTAGGTGAAATAGACAGGTAGGCGAACATTTAGGTAGGAGAAGTGATATAGACTCGTCTAAGGGCCGGTAACAAACGCAATCGAAAAACATAGATGATTTTTTTATGTCTGATTGTCTCTTACCTATCACCTCCACGTCTAGTTTTCTTCACCTTCTTCAGTACTCTGAAATATAAGTTTGTTTGAATGGGAAATGTTTTAAATGACGCCCTTGTTCTCGCAGAGATCATCGAGAAGCTGAAGCGACCGCCACCGCTGATTCGGCCCTCCGTGAGCAAAGGGGCCGCGCCCCCCGAGGCCATCAACATCATGAAGCAGTGCTGGGCCGAGCTGCCCGATCTGAGGCCCGACTTCAACGTCGTCTTCGAACAGTTCAAGATCCTGAACCAGGGCCGCAAGGTCAACTTCGTGGACACCATGTTCCAGCTGCTGGAGAAGTACAGCAACAACCTGGAGGAGCTGATCCGCGAGCGCACCGACCAGCTGGACTGCGAGAAGAAGAAGACCGAGCAGCTGCTGTACCGGATGCTGCCAATGTACGTACGCCAGCTTTGCCTTCACAGAATACCAATCGACGAACCTTGGTTTCTAAACTCGTTTTCTCTCTCCTCTGTTTACAGCCAAGTGGCAGAAAAGCTTAAGATGGGGATGCCGGTTCTGCCTGAGAACTTCCAGGAGGTGACCATTTACTTCTCGGACATCGTGGGTTTCACTGCCATCTCCTGCCACTCCACGCCCAACCAGGTGGTGGACCTGCTCAACGACTTGTACACCTGCTTTGACGCCACCATCAACGCCTACACCGTGTACAAGGTATCTGGAGCTCGCAGGTTCGGTTATCACTCAGCGAGTCCGGCTGCAGCTCACCCGTCGCGTGTTCCAGGTGGAAACGATCGGCGACGCCTACATGGTGGTGGGCGGCCTGCCGGTGCGGGTGGACGACCACGCGGACCAGGTGGCCACCATGGCGCTGGACCTGCTGCATCAGAGCGGCCGCTTCCAGATCCGCCACCTGCCACAGACGCCGCTGCGGCTGCGCATCGGACTGCACACGGGGCCCTGCTGCGCGGGGGTCGTGGGGCTCACCATGCCGCGCTTCTGCCTCTTCGGGGACACCGTCAACACGGCCTCCAGGATGGAGTCAACAGGTGGGTGCAGCTTTGGGCCGCTGTGTCAAGAACCCATCCTGACCTAACTTGACCTGACCTGACCTAACCTAAATGTGGTGCGCAGGGTCGGCATGGCGAATACACATATCGGAAGCCACGAAGGACAAGCTGGATGACAGCTACGACATCGAGTACCGGGGCATGACTGAACTCAAGGGCAAGGGCCTGATGCCCACCTACTGGCTGCTGGGCCGGAAGGGCTTCGAGAAGGAGCTGCCCACACCGCCGCCAATCAGGTACGTGAGACAAACGCATCAAGAATAGGCTGAACAGGTTTTTTGGACCGAATCCATACTAAGAAGTGCCTTTCATTTTTCTCCAGGGAAAGCCACGGGTAAGAATTTAGCGAACAAGTTCCATCTGGAGCAGCACAAAACGTAAGTACGTGACGATGAGCGAGGTGAACAAACGTGTTCCTGTTGCAGGCTTGACGAGAGCCTTCTGCTGCCCGCGCCCCTGCCGACCCCGCCCACCCAGTCGCCTGTTAGGGCGTCGCCGGCGTCGCCCCAGCCACCGGAGGGCAGTTCCAGCGAGCCCTCGTCGGCGGCAGTCAAACGGAAGTCCTTCGAGTCCTGCAACTCTGGCGAGGCGCCGCAGGCCCACTCGGTGGAGGTGGTGTGCAGGCCGCACCCCCTGCAGGCCTTGCAGTCTGCCATCTCGGCCGCAGACGCCCAGCCAGCGGACGCGCGCGCCAGCAGGTTTGCAGCTGCACTGTTATTACCGGAAGTGGTTGAAGGAAAGGGAGGCTGATGGACTGTGTCCTGCAGGATGCTGGTGTGTGCCTCCATCGACAACGAGCGCACGCCTTCCCGACGGGGCTCGCTGCAGCTGGCCACCGAGAGCGCCAAGATCAGCCTGTGCACCATGAGCGTCAAGGACAGCCGCCACAGCTCCAGGGAGGTGCCCGACGAGCTGGACGCCATCTCGCCGGCGCCGCTGGGACCGCACGCAGTCACGTCCCCGGGGATGACCACGCCCCTCTCGGCGTCAGAGGTACGAAACTCAACAGTGCACATGGTGCACGGCAAATTGCAATCGTCACAACCCGGCTTTTGTTCTGCCTGCCGTCCAGCTGGCCATGGACCGCCTGCTGGGACTGTCGTACTACAACCCGCCGGGCACGTGGCGCAGCAGCAGCACCAACCTGCAGAACCCGCTGCCGCAGCGGCCCAAGAAGGCGGCGGCCTTCGTGGAGGAGGACCTGAGCGCGGGCTTCAACACGTACCGCTGCCTGTCGCCGCACGACCCCCCGCCGGCCCGCCTGGCCGCACTGCAGGGCGTGGGCCGCGGCTTCCTCAAGCGCCAGTACAGCCTGGACCGCGGCGACGACCCGGCGGGCAGTGCCGCCAGGGAGAGCTCGGCGCCGCGCGCGCTGCACAAGCAGAACTCTGCCGGCGCCGCCCCCGACCTGCACCGCATCGAGGAGGTGCCGGGCAGAGGCCTGCCCCACGTCCACGTCGCCACCGCCGCCAGGACCAGGGGCATGCCCAGCCTCTCGTCCAATTCGTCCGAGTCGCTGGCCTGAGGTTGCATTCACGTTTCATTTCGGTTTCGTTTTGTTTGACGTGAGTTTTTACTTGGTTGATTGTGATTCAAAATAAAGCTCTATATTTGTGAAATAAAAAGAGACAATCGGATATATTAGGTAAGAAAATAACGAATTGATATGTGATGAAAATGTTATGGACTATACGTTGAATTCTTTGAGTTACATGTTTGTAGTAAACCACTGGTTGGACAGAAAATATGTTGTTGTTTTTGTACAAATTTGGAGTGTAGTGTGTTCAAATGTACCTGATCTGCAGCTTTCAACGGAGACAAACGGAGGAGAACCAGCGACCTCAGTCCGTCTGATGCATACAGCAGTACAGCGCATTCCCCGTCAGAAATCGATCGTGAGAATGATTGATCGGTTATCATTGGATTGCATCGGATGCCGTCGGCGTTGGTTCAGGCCGATGCTCTGCCATGTCAAAGATCAATTTCTGATAGGTTTGCTTTCCATTCTGAACTGAACTGTTTCTTGCCATAGCGGGTGTGCCTGATAATCAGAAATTATCCTTCTGCACGTACATACCATATTGCACGAATGCAGAATAACCAGTAAGTGAGGCCTATGCCTTAGAAACATCATAGATATAGCATTCGCGGCTATGTGATGTAGACCTTGTCTTTCTTTTCGAAGCAACATTCCTTGACGGCCTAATTGGTTTGCCTTCATTCATTGAAAGAGATAGGAAAGTGCGTTGCAAAATCAAGAAAAATAGTAGAGATAAATTAGCAGTCCCTTCCTAGGCCCCTTCCAAGACTTAGTATGATAATATTTGTTATAAATTATCTTGCCTTCTTAATCGAACGTTTCGACCAAAGTCCATAAGTGCATACTCAAATAATAATTGTGACAAACCTTTCTTAGCTCGGTATCCAAAGCACCTCTTCCAGCCAGAGGGGCATTCCTTCTTTAATTTACTGCTCTATGCTGTTAAGCGGAGGCAAAATATATTATGAGTAGCCGAGACAATAAATTGAGAACGAGTTAACTGCATGACTGATAATTCAATTCGAAGCCTAAATTTGGATTTTGAAAGGATGGTAAACCCGTGAACTTAACTATGTGGTATAGTCGGACGTGATGTAGTTGAGTTCATGAGACTGTCTCTGCCATTTTTGTCCACCCCGGTATTTATTTTTAAGACAGCACTTTTCCTTGTTCTCTTCTTCTTTTGTTATTAGTTCACTGCACTCCTCCCGCATTATCCCCTAAACGTGAATCGATTCTACTTAAATCCCCTTTGTGTGTGATATATTGATGTTAAAAAATAAAGAGAAAAATGTGAAGATTTTTTCATAGCCTCAAGATCATTTCAGTGCAGTAAAGTTGTACGCGAAAAAAAAAACGAAACCAAAAGAAGTCAAACGATGAAACCTTTTTCATAAAGACATTTAATACATTTTCAAGACCAGCCAAAAACATCTCGTTCCTCTTATTTCCAACACAGTTAAGAATGAAGAAGTTGAGCACTGACATCTACTCAATCGACATTCTCTTATCGCCAACCTTAATTCTAACACATATTTTTCACATATAATTGGTCTACTTTTTTTACCATGCCGTTAACAGCTCTTCGATGGGATCTCAGGAGAAAAAGGAGATTACATGTTGCACTCACAGAAGTAACAAAAATCGTTTGGATGGATGAGTAAGACGGAAATATGAAAATAACAAATAAGTGCAAAGGGCAAGAATGCCAAGATGATATGAGACGATCTTTCGTTCTGCACAAACCTACAAACTTTTAAAAAATTACAAATATCGATATTTAATACAACAATATTGAGCACAGTCTTTAAAGAGGCCGGGACAAACTGTGTCAACTTTAAGCGCAAAACCAAACCTTACAACCTTAACAAAACTGGGATAGAAGAGAACTTGCCACAATGGAACAGCAAAAGATATGCTGAGCATTGAAACAAAATGTGATTGAAAGCTACACCACGAAGAGGTCTAAATACACAACACCAAAAGCGAAAAAGGAAATGTAATTTAATTATGTTTTTTAATTTTCTTTCGCAATGTGAAAACCACGCCGATCTTTATATCAACGACACTTCTCCAATGAGAGCAAATTTAACACTATGAAAACATCAATATTGTCTATGTTTAGTTGTGCACCAAACTTCAGAAAACAGATTGTGAAAAGCGATGGTTCATTTGACTCTGCTAAGTGTAACAAATTAATGTAGGGCACCTCTTTTTGGCATACGACAGTCAGCATCCAGACAAAAGTGCCGAGCACTTTTATTCAACAAAGTATATGCAAATACACGCAATAAATGTTTACTCGAAGGATCCACATAGGCCAAAGCGGCCTTGCACACCAAATACAATGCTAACACAGATGCAACAAAGCTATTACAAGAAACAAAGACACTGACACAGCTATCACAATAAGGAGAAAGGTACTCTTACGTAATTTACTTAAAAGTAGAAGACACAATATATCAATACGAAGTTATCACTTTTTTTGCGTGGCTGAGCCAACAACTGGAGACTAGTACGAAAAATTTATGATTGTTTTTACTAAACAGAATATTAAGTCACAAATCTTTTCCAGAACACAACCTTGAGAAATGAAAGGCACTTAACCGTACAGAAGCTATGTTAAGAGTACTACAGCATATTTTTACTTAGTCTTGAAAGGACGATGAAACGATAAGGACAAAGGTAAGATTGAATAATAAATCAATTAAATTCTATTAAGAGTTTGCTCTACCGCTAAGAAACCTTTTAAGAAAACATAAACAGATGAACAAATATACGAGAAACGTATCTAATGAAGACACATACGAGTATGCAACACGAAAACAAACGTTTTGTTGAGTTTAATTATAAAAGAAGTAATACTGTTTAGTTTTGTACCCCTAGGCGGTGAGTGAAACAACTCAACAATTTGTCATCAAACAGAAAACAATCTTAAATCTAGTAAATTGTTTAACTATGGTACTACACTCACAGCCGTTGATCAATTACGGCAAAATGTTTATTTTGTCTCGAGCTATGAAAATGTACTCGAAATAAACGTCCAGGATCTAAGAAGTCTGGGAGATAGTATCTTTCTCTGTTAGGCAAGTGGAAACTGACTGTCTTCAATGCACTATCCATGGAATATGTAAAAAGGACAACAGAAAGAAAGATCCGACAAAACAGTAATAAGAAGCAAAAAAATTGCTCCTTTCATTCCTGCTAGATGAATTGCACTAACAGACTCGTAGAACCGGACAGTGTAAATAAGATTTTTCAGCACAATTTAAAAAAACGGCTGTAAAGAGCTCTTTTCAATGGTTTAGCCACTATTCAACATTGAAGGAGCAAAGCTTTTTTTAATGCTTCCGAGGAAGCTTAAAGGCCAAATAAATTTCAGTCTAGTCTTAGGTGCCGCAAAAATTATAAAAAGGCTTTCTTTAACTGAATCTTAGTAATTCGTTAAAATTGCACTTTTAATCCACAGCTTAAAGATGGATAAAAGTAAACCTATAAAATTAATTCGTATCGATTTCTGTAGTTAGGTATATACTAGCTTGACCAAGGCCTTAAAGACAATATCTGGCTTGTGTCAAGGACTAAAATTATTTTAACACAGAACGTTAACCAGTCTGAGATCGCCAAAATTTTAACGTGCTTTAGTCAACCCGACAAATTTTTAGCTATTTTCTCTTAGGCTTAAATGCTCTACGTTTATTGTACGTAAAAACGAGATTTAGATAAAACATTTAGTTACAATATTTAAATGTAATATTTAGATATAAGATTGAGATACATTATTTAGGTAAATGTTTTTAGAAAATATAAATGATTTATTTAACGTACACGCTATGAACAATTTTGTGTCCTTCCGTGTACTATTATTTTAAACAATAATGAGCAATTGTTCACCTGTCCACTTGAACTCAGCCTTTGTTTCAAAAAGAGCACATCAGCTGGCATATGGACGCCACAAAAACACAACCAATTACTTCAAAATAAACAAATTGGCACTTCGTGCGTTTCGCATGGCACAAAAACACAACCAACGAGTTTGAACTAAACAGAGCTGTACATCCATTAGCTAATCAATGGCACATATACACACAACCAAGAAGTATTCCAGACTAAAAACATATGTACAAAATATGTTTAACAACCTTTAAATTGAGTATTTTTAGATATAAAATTTATAATACTTCGGAAACATTTATCGGAAGGTAAATCTTTAAGAGTACACAATTTTGTACGATGCCTAAGTAATGTAACATTGTTTCGCACTTTTGTCCATTGTGCCCAAGGACTGCCAAATCTGACGCAGGATCATGTTTTTACCTGTTCCCCTTCTGCGCTGACATTTATCACATGAGCGTAGCCCTGAAGTTTACTGCGCCCGAAATAGCATCTTGGCATCAATAGCATTGCGTAGTCACTTTTATAGCTATGATACACGATTTTCATGATGTAAAACACGTTAAACATCACAAAATAGAACTATTTACAAGTACTACTAAAAGCAAAAACTCTCAATGGAGTACAAGTCTATATGCAATCACAACCATTGTGCAATAGTCTCGGACTACAAGACAACTGACCAAAAATAAACAATGAAACACACATTAAAAGTAATTAATTCCTTAATTATTAATACTTTGTTTGCAGTATTTTAAATTATATTTGAAACATAAACAGTAACCATTTACATGTTTTATACACACATTTATTTTTATGAGTGATCACCTCTTTGACATCGCAAAACCTGAGCTAAACTTTCTTTTCCTTGAATCAAGTGATTACTTTACATCTTCGACATGATAAATCAGGCTACGTAGCACATTGATTTTTAAAACACCTATGGTGTAGCATGATCTACTATGCAGCGTTGAAACGTTTGTCTATTCCTTACAAACACACCATGAAGCACTAACAACAAAAGCGTTTGCAAAACGGTGCGGTACAATATTCCCACAACGTTGCAATGGATCAAATAAGGATCTTTTTCTCTTGCGTACTGCCTCCTTAGAATCGCAAATACTACATGCAGCGCGTTACAGTTCAGAGGTAACAATGTGTACGCTTAGACGGGATTAGTGCATCAAAGCGAATAAAGAAATCCCATTTAAACAGTTGGTTTGACAAGTTGCTTCACGGGCTCTTGATTTTTATTTATTTTTGGGCTACACTGTGTATCCTTTTCATCTTGATTGTTACTTAAAAGGGACGAAAAGATTTCGTCGAGCTGGGCTGCTGTTGGTGTATGCTTCGACTTGTCTTCTTCTGAAAGATTCGTCGTCTCAATTAAATCCGTTTCCTTTACGTCTTGCAATTCGACCTTTGCAGGCTTTCTTCGTCAGAGCAAACAGGAATTTCTTTATCGTCGCAAGTTTGTAAGCAGGCAAGTTCTAGAGTGTTGACTGGGTACTCGATCGCCGGTTCAATTTTTGGTGTCATCTGTTTAGTGGAAGCCATGTTGAGCCCAAAATTTAGACAAGTGCTAAACGATATTGTTGGTGAAGAGTTGATCAATGGAGATTCACCAGAAGATGACACTCCACTTGAGATAGCAGCAAGCCTTTCAGCTTGTTCCATTTTCTGATGGTCCCAAAACCTATGGATTTTCTTATGCGCGTTGCGGTTCTTTGCTTTTCCAAATGTCCTGAAAAATAGAAAGCTCGTTTAAGAAAATAAAAAAGAATTACACACAATTTTTTGAAAAACTTGTATACATTGAGACAGGGCGTTCACAACTAAATCGTTTCTTTTATCAGTGTATTAGTTCTTTGTTAAACTGACATGCTAATTGTTTGGTACAGCACTATTAGTGAAGCCGTTGCTACTGTCTTTGGTTACTTTCCAACATTACAAGCAATTTGTTTTGGTTCGGGCAGAAAGCGTCACTCCAAATTGAATCAGATGCATGACGCAATCTGCCTTTACCTGGCATATCGATGGAGTGCGAAAACACACTTACTTCCCGCATGTCTCGCATGCAAAGTCTTTTTGTGTTGATTGTTTGGCAGCACCGGCAGCTGAAAGGGTTTTCCTAATACCATGAATTCGGATGTGTCCATTTAGGGCCGCTCGTGAGTTGAAGCTCTGAAAAAAAAATTAAAACAAACTTTTCACACCCACAAGAAAACGCTAACAGAAAAAAATATCGGTACGGTTTATTACCCCTGAACAGTCTGCAAATTCACAAATAAACAAGCGGCTTTCAGACGAGGTGATAACATGTTCTTCAGCCTGGGAAGAGTTTTCCTGCAGTTTGGAAAAAAATATTTAATTATTCACCCTTTAGGAAATCTAAAAAGAAACATTACACCGTTTTCTTGTCTCACCAAGCATGATGCAACGCCTAGCTGCAAGTCATTTTCTGCTAAAGTGGGTTGGGCAGCGTTAAAAGTGCGCAATTCTGGTCCTTTCACATCTTCATCCTCCATTCTGATCCCGTGCATTGCCATCATGCTTTCTATTTCTCTCTTAACCTCATCATGATTTGACTCTAAGAGTTCGGGTTTAGGAACAACTATTGGTGCTTCCTCCACAGTTTCATCCAAGTCATGCGAATTTTCACATAAAAGGTTAAGTTTGACGTCATCAAACTGAAAAGAAAATCCGCATTAATTTTGAATGTTGTTGAAGGGTTCAAAATGGTGCAGGGTTGGAACAAGAATTACCTCATCCAGGAAAAGTTTTGGGTCATTAATGTCAACGTTGGCACTGATAATATCTTGTTTCAAGTCATCTTTGTCGCAAAATGACCATGGCTCAGTTTTTATTTCAGTCAAAGAAAAACTGTCATTTTCATCGTCGCACTGCAAAGCCATGGAATTGTTGCAATTTCTGACAGTGGCATCAACCAAATTGACATCATGTGACGGTGATACTGTGCCAAAGAGGGACTCATATATTGAAGGGCGTTATTTTCCTTTGATGACTCAGTTTCAGATCCATGCGTTTCTTCGTTTGCGCTTAGTTTATTATAAAAGTACTCCACATTGTTGTGAAAGTGGTTGTTGTTTGACTGTGGCATATTTGGTACTTTCACTTGACTTTGTGCGTCTTGGCTTCCTCCTTCTGATAGACAACCGTCGTCTTCCGCTATAAAGGCAAGTGCGTCGAGGGTAGCATTATCATCATCATCGTCCTCTTGTTTTTCTTCTTTTATCTCTATCTCAGCAGGATTGCGTGCTTTTTCCAAGAGACTTGCGCTTGAATTAGCATCTTCTTGGTTATTACGATTGTTATTTAGGTCATCGTCGACAATTTTCCCCTGCCATCTGTCTCGAATTTTGCAATATTCCGGCAAGCAAACTTTCTTCCACACGTAGTAAAACTGAATGCAGTGCATTGGTGACTTTCCGAGCTAGAACAAGAATAATAATTGAGTCAAATTAGTAGAGGCAATTACATTCTGTGATGCTTTTAGTGTCGTCCTGACAACGATGTTAGGCCCATACCTCTTTGGCCACAACTGGCCAGTTTTTGGAGTGTTTCTTTAGTGCTCGCACAAAAGCATCTACTTCGGCATAACCCCACAGTTTTGTTATTCCGTAATTGAAACCCAGTAGCCCATGGTCTCTTGGCAGCTTTGGTTTCCGAATCATCAGTTGCATTGTTGCCTCTGGGATGTCACCACCACACAGGTGCAAGAGATGAAGGGCATACTCTTGGTTTCTACCCGCAAATGGTATTGCATCACAGCAGGCAAACTCAAGGTATGCAATTACTGCAAAACAAAAGCGATATAGTAATAAACCCTTGCACAATTCTATATATTATTGGAATGAATCTACCCACCTTGCTCATTTGTTAACTTGGCTTCAACGGAAGGTTCGTAAAGTTTATGACTAGCCGTGTCACTAGCTCTTGGGTATGGCTTCTCTCACAAGGTGGAATGGGACACTGGTACTTCACCCCAACATTGACATGGGGAAAGCTGTCAGACTCTGGAGCCGTAAGAGCGAAAACATCAACAACTTCCGCATTTTCTTGAGAAGATGATGGTAAATGCCAAGGCTGGGTCACAGACGCAACCAATCCTGCCGCTGGTCGGTTAGGGTCAAGCATAGGAGCCGGAGTGTAAGGCATACTAGCAGAGCAGATAGTTTCCCGGCGGCAGTTCCTTAACCGCGACTTGAAAGTCGGATACTTTGGCATCAGACGAGGCCGCTTTGGTGGTGGAACAAAGTTAAGGTAGTTCTGTGAAAAAATTGCCTTTTCGGAGGGCAACTCCACCGGAATGTTTGTTGAAGTATCATCATTTAGTGGGTTTCCCGGTTCCCTGTTGAAACGAAAGATCCAATCACTCAAGAGTAAAGTACACACACAACATACTTTAAAGCAAATACATTTGTCTTGTATATGTATCATAAAAAGTACAAATACACAATAAATGTCAAGATTAGAAAAAATACTGGTCTGGAATTGTGATTGACTTCCTAAAATATTTCACTTACATCGAATTAAGGTATTCTTCATCGTCTATTCCCACAGACTTAAAGTAGGAAGATACCAATTCAGGGGCAATCTCGGGGGCCATATCGTTTGATATGTCATTGCTTGTGGTCGCAGCCACTGGCACAACTTCAGGGGTTGAAGGAGACTTAGTCTGAATAAGAGGTTTCTGCTGCTGATTATTGCTCTTATTGAGTCTCTGCACTGTTGCCGTAGGCGCCTGAATTAAATGTAATTGCCCACCACGTTCTACGAGCACACTTCCAAGTACTGTGAGTGACCTAAAAAAGAAACTTTATTTATTCTAAATTTTCCAAAACAGGTAATAAAGTGTTTGGCGTCAAGCCGTACCTCAAGTCAATTTTTTTTCTTGTTATATCCTTTATGGTTGATGAAAGAAGAGGGTCTTCTGAATTGATTAAGAGCTGGTTTGAGTCCTCGCTTTGAGGAGACAGTGGCAAAAAGGGGGCATTGCTGAGTGGAGACAAAGGAGTAAGGGGTGGAGTGTTTGACGCACTAGTCGAATGCGGTGGGGTGGGAAATGAGCTGTTAGCGTAGTTGTGATGCTGCAGCACCGTAGCTGCAGCCACGGAGTCCACTGACTGAGACAGCTAAAAGGGCAAATAACGAGATACATTGACAAAGGTCCACTTAACACATTTAAAGCCATTTTTAGTGATTTCGCTAAAAGGATCTTAAATTTTAATACAAAAAAGGCACCTTTTTAAACGCCAACTCGTGCTGCTCACTAAGTCGTCGGGCCTCTGCGATGTTTCGGGCTTGAATAAAACCAGTAGCTGTTGTTGTGGAAGCTGTGCTTGTTACAGCTGGTGCCGAAGATGATGGTGAATTTTCTCTCCCAGCAGAAAGAGCCACTCGACCAATGGTTCCGCCTCGCTTCTGAATTATTTTTTCTTCAATAAGTTGTCTTACTGACACACTTGCTGTTTGCAACGGAGGGCCCGTGGATTCTCGTTTGTCAGATCGCTTGGACTCGGAGTCCTGAAGGACACGTAGTATGTTAAAAACGTTAAATCACAATTTAGAGCCACAAACCTCTGCAATCCACGCAAGTAGTTATGAACCGAACCTTTTTAAAGTAGCCACCGTGAAGACGCATGTGTCCATTTAAAGCTGGAATATTTTTGAAGCGCCTGTTGCACAAGTTGCAAGCCACAGGCTTGCTTTGATTTGTATCTTTTTCGGCTTTTGGACTTTTCTTCGAATCGTCATGAACAAGGGCTGGCACTGGAATTGGCTGTGAACATATAAAAACAGACATTATATGCATTTGTTTCATAAAATTTCAAAACAAACGTGGTAAGGAACCTTTGAAAATCGTGTCCATATGTCAATTTCTACTATTCCCGTGCATGAAAGTGGAAGTACGCTAAGCAAAAAAATTTATTTACTGACGCAGTAGTTTACGTGGAATCGGAATACTCCTAAAACGTATCTAAAAGTAAGTTTCGTCTAACCTGTGTATGCAGAGCACTAAGTACGCTGGCCGTTTTGCCGCTAAAAACTTCGGTGCTGTTAGTGCTTTGTTTGGTGCTGCTGTTATTCGTAATGGATTTGGTTGTTGTAAAGGTCAAGGCTACAGTGCTTTTGGTAGTGGCAGTGGTGGTTGTCACGGTCGTGCTCACTGGTGCGGTACTGGAGGTGCTAGTTATCTCGAAGGCCAAACCAGATTTCTTCTGAAGGGACCGAGCTTGTTGTTTCGGTGGGTAAGCCACTTTCCCTTCAACTCCAGATTGTTAGGATTCATCCCTGATTGGTCAATTGTCGCCTTCAAAAACAAAACAAAAACATTAAAACATCAAAAAAAGATGATAGAAATAGAATAAAACTTAAGAATAGACTAAGTACCTGCAGTGTGACGCCCTGTTGAATTATATCAACTCCATTTACTTGTAGGTCGGTACTTAAAACGGGTTGATAACTTTCGTTGGACATGTCCTGCGACGGTACGGCTCTTCCAGTCACTGCTGGAGGTTCAACTTTTGGGGATGCAAGACACACACTTGGAATTTGACTGGCAGAGGACGTGGCTAATACTTGGGGCCAGGTCACGGACTGCACTAATTTAGGCACTTGGTCGTTCTTTTCCAGAGTTGTCAGAGAGGCCTGTCGAGCAAACCCCGTGTAGATTGGCGCAGCATTGGTTTGAGAGGTACTTTGACTTCGCGCCGTGGTGACCTTTGGTTGTTGAACCTGACTTGTCAGAAGCTGCGGTTGAGAGACGGGAAGTTTTATTTGAGGCAGCTGTCGCGTGGGTGACAGGTATGCCGATAGCACGCCTGTGGGTGTCCATCTTCAGGTGGACTTCTGGACAGAAGCAGAGTGCCTTGAGTCCCAGGTGACGGCGGAAATGACTGGTCGAGAAGCAGTTGAAACTGCATTCCCTGTGGAGGGCTTTGTTGTTTGGCAGGCATAGCTCGGGCTGCTACCAGCTGCGGCCGCACCGTTGGGATTGTTATTGGAGACGGCGCGGGCGTTCGCACTGGTGCGCTCAGGGCCGGGCTCAGGCCGGGACTCAGAGCCGTTGGGGAGGGCAGAGGCGTAGCGATAGGACTTCGACACACTATTGGAGTTGCCACTGGCGATGTCATTGGCGACGCCATTGGCGTGGGCAACGTCACAGGTGCAACGGATTTCGGTAATATTGCGCTTGTTCCGTTTTCAGATGCTGTCACCCCATTTATCGGAGTAGAGCCTGAGTCCGTTACGGTGCTGGCCGTGGGTGAAGCCTCAGCTGTATCTAGTGTGGCACAAGAGCTGTCCGTGCTTGGAGTGGCCAACAGACTTAGAATTGTTTTGGAGTTACGCCTCCGCGCTTCTTTTTCTGAGTCCTTGTCCTTTAGAGCGGGAAGTCCTTTCAAATGGTGGTGGTTTTCCTCGTGACGACGCAATGATCGTGCGTCACAGTAGCTTTTTGGACACCCATCTACCGTGCACTCATAGGGCTTCTTATTTCTGTGCGTAAGCATGTGTCCATTCCTGCAGTAAAAAAATAAGTACAAATTTGAATACAAACACTCTTCTCATTTTAACGTTTCAGGATCTCAGTAAATACGTACAAGTGGTCCTGACGCTTAAAAGCCTTTGAGCAAACAGAACAGGCATATCGCCGTTCATCACTGTGAGTTAGCTTGTGTTTTGCCAACGCCGACGCATTACTGAATACTTTTGAGCAAACCTGCACAGTCAAAAACAAATAACAGCATACAACATAATTGGAGAAAATTGTTGAATCCAGATTTATGTAAGGAGAGATAAAGCCAGATTGGTGCCAAAGAGAAAAACACACTATTCTGCCCTATTTATTTGATGGCAATCATGACATGGCTACGTATGTAACAAACAAGCACCAGAGCAGTACCTGGCACACCTGAGGCCCCAGCCGGCTGGGGGACAGAGTCCTGGTCTTCTTGGCGTTGTTGCTGCAGCTGCCTGCGCTGCTTGCACTGCTGCTGAATGGCCCACTAAAGCTGCTCGTCCCGCTGCAGCTGCTGCTCAGGCTCTCTCCAGACAGCTGCGTAGAGTCTTGGCTGCCGGCTGTGAAGAGAAAGAAAAGAGACATTTAAATTGCAGCGGAAAAATATTGCCGGCAAGCGGCATCGGACGATAAACTTTCGTAAGTCTAATGCGACGTTGTTTTCGCAGGACAATATGCAGTCCCACCCGTTCCACCAGTGTCTTTGTCGGGCTTGGCACACTAATGCACGTGATGTAACGTGAGAGCACTACTGGCTCCTCAGCTGAATAATACTGTCCTGTTACTACTACAGTAGTTCTACAAATTATGTCTGGCGTTATCGACATGGGTTCGTTGTAGTGAAAGTGCAACGAAACACGTTGCCAAGGGATCCACGCACGAAGCGGTCCACTCTCGTATTGGATGTTACGGAAACTGGACATCTATTAGATACGTCCCGCCGCGGCGCGCCGAGACCTGGCAGTGGCGGGGCCTCGGTGGGGCCTTGGTGGGCTCACGGCGGGCGGGGCGGAAGAGTCGGCTGCAAAATAATGGCTGTTTGTTGGCACCGGGCCAGGCTTTATTCCGAGACTGCGGGTAGATGACTCAATTGTACTGCGACAAAAACGAAGGTCAGTGCTTCGCGACGATCATTATTTCGAACCAAAGTGCATACTGGCTGAGCCATCACTGGAATAAAGCCTTTGCTTGTGCACGCCCGAAAGAGCCTTCCTATGTTTCTTAGACAGGGGATTTACCTTACCAGACCCTCGGCAAAATTGATTCTAGCACAAATAAGTTTAAAGTTACCCTTCCCTTACGTCATATATGAAAATCAAAACAGCCAAAGTAAACAACGAAGAAGCCAATTACCATGTTAGCAGAAACACACTGAACTCGTGCACTATGAAGTGCATGCAAAGTAGGAAACACAAGTAACAAGGCAAAATCAAACTAACCACAGGCAACACGTGCATTTAAATGTTTGAATACGCAGAGGAAATCTTCTTGTGAAGTATAATTTTTTTAAGCTGCCCCGCTTACCTCCTCTACCAGGCGGAAGGTGAAACTTGGAACATACCTGGGCACCCTAGCGACTGGCTGCAGCGGACCGTGGGTAGGCGTCACCAGGCTGCAGCGAGAGAGAGACACACTGACAAAGACGCTCCCGCCTGATACCAGGCTCCGATGAAAAGCATGAGAAAAGTAATAATTGCATACAACTAGAGTTTGGAATGCAATTCAACCGTGCCTAATAGGACGATAAAATGATCGGGAACTTTTTTGAACAATATGAATTTTTAATGTTTCCCATCAGCCCTAACGAATTGCCTACCCCTGAATCCGGGGTCCTGCACAATGCCTTGACCTTCAGCGAGCAGAGGCGCCACACTGTTGTTTACCGAGAAAAGAGAAAAGCGATGCAAGGGGGCAGGGCGGCCTTGACAGACCTTGACAGACCGCCCCTGCGCGCGAGCCACTCTCGAATTATTATCCTCTTTGCCTGCAGGCCCAGGCCTGTTCGCGTCCGTTGCGCTGTGCTGGTCCGGGGGCTACGAGCCCCCTCCCCCTTCCACCCCTAACGTTCGGGTCGGTCAGCCCAGCCCCCACCCCGATCAGCGCGCCCCAGTGGGCCGATTGAACAGGGCCCGTAAATCTACATAATTATAGGCTGCAGGCTGGCCTCGTTAAGAGGCCGCCGCGCCGTCCGACTTGCATTCGGCACATCGCAAAAGTATTTGCTAGCGGCTTTTCAGGACCCTCGCCACAGCCAGGCACGCGCGTGCGTTTCGGTGCGAGTTCCTGATCGGCATCGTAAACTTGTCTTGGTCCTCGGCAGTAAACCGAAAGGCGGCTGTGATCAGTTTCACTGCGCGCACTGCGTGGCGCCACGGCCGCGGGGTGTTAATAGCCTAGAGAGAGGGACTGTGTCGCACAAAGGGGGCTTAGCACGGGTCGGACTTTCCGACAAGCCCGATCTTATTTTTCGGTGGCACCGCAATCCGACTTCCCTCTTGTTGTGGCGCGCTGCCGAGACGCTGCCGAGACGTCGCGCATGGCTGCGCCAGACACTCGGCCAGCCGGCTGGCCGTCTCGGTGGCCGTTTCGTCGCTGTCTGTATCATGGGGTGTCCCTTGGAGGTGCGACAGAGACAGAGCTCGCCTTTGGCCTTTCCCCCGCGTCTCAGCCCGACCGCAGTCTGACCCCGCTATGCTCCTACACTGCAGTGGCGTGCCCACGACACGGCGCGGCGTCTAGACATTAGCGTAATACGGATTATCAAATTGTCTAACGGTTTGCAACGACAAGGACAATCGTTTCGGGCGCTTACTTGCATCTCAATTGGCAAAAGACAGGCAATTTATCAACTTGACGTTTAAAATTTCGCACTGCGGCATTGTTCAAGACAAGAGAAAAGCGAGAAAAAAACTCTGCCCCAAGTTTGGACTGCACACAAAAATTAGTTCACTAAACTAAACAGTCACTAGGATACACTGTAAGAACCAACCACAATAAAAACTACAACATTGAAGCCAATTTAATAAACTACGATTTAACATCTTTGTTCACTGGTGGAACTGAAGCGTAATTGTTTGCTTATTCAAGTATACAACTACCCTTGAAGCCAAGCGCAACCATTACACTTGAAGAAACAGTGCGCTTTAGTTCTACCAGTGTTCATTTTGTTTAGAAGCCTGCAAGAAGCTACGAGTTCTACCAATAATACACTGACTCAAGGCACAAGAGAAAAACGACATGAACTAGTGGTCCGTTCTTTCAGTACAAGTTAGCTCAACAAATCACACGCCTCGCCGTACGTATGTGTTTTCTTAGGCTTTCGAGACTGCTTCAAGACTCACAAAACGCAGTAATTATTGAATCGAAAGAACGGGCAAGCGGAGTAACTGAATGGGTACGCACTGTCCATGCTGCCGATGACGTCCGAGACGTCCAGGAGGTCGTCCGTGGCCAGGAGGTGCTGCGGCACGGCCTGGTCCTGGTGGTCCGCCACGCCGCCCGCCAAGCCGAAGGCCGTCGGCGCGAGGGGGTACAGCGGCAGGGTGCCCGGCGACGTGGCCGGCGAGCCGCTGCTGGCGCACGAGTCGGAGAAGCCCGCTGCAAGCAAGACCAGTGTTCAGAATCGAAAGCAAGCGTCGAAGGGAAGCAGCTACTCTGGTAAATCTTAAGCGAAGTTGTATGCTTCGTTCAAGCGTACAACTACGCTTAGAGGCTTAACGCTTGAAGTCAAGCGTAAGAAGAGAAATTCTCCCATGCGTTTAGATAGTCGAAAGAAGTGAAAACGAGTACCACGCTTGGAGTCAAGCGCAGCAACCACTACGTGTGCTTCAGTTAGTTGTACCAGTGCACGGTGAACGAAACAACTAGGTGAAATACGGAAGCGAAGTTTTTCTAGGAAACGTGTTCTACAGCGCAAAACCGCAGCCGTCAATGGACGAATGGCAACCCGGCGGCCCGGCGGGAGAAGCCAGACGGACGGCTCGGGCCGGACCGGCGGATTCCGAGAGCGCGCTGTGGCGCTGTGCCTCGCCTGTGCCGCGGAGCGGAAAATGAGATTACCAGCCCCGCGCTCTGGTTCAGCGAAACCGCGACCGTATCTCTCTCGCATCCCCGACAACGAGACACCCAAAGCGCTTTAATTCAAGCAGTTAGTCACAATCATGCAAGTGTGGTGTGTGTTTGGCTGTGTGCTCCAAGGCTTCCTCCGAGGCGTGCTCCGAGGCGTGCTGCACAGAGTGCCCCCAAGTGAGCACCTTACCCTGGTCGGCGTCCTTGTCCAGGGCGGCCTCTCGGAGGCGGGCCAGCGCCGCGAGGGAGGGGGCCGCGGCAAAGGGGCCGGCGAAGGGGCGTGCGCGCGGCGCGTGCTCCAAGTCGCTGAAGAACGAGTCCGTCTCGCTGGTGCTCAGCGCCAGCATCTCCGAGCTGGTGGCGGCAAGGCTGACGGGCGGCGAGTTGGCCGTGTCGAACGTGTCCAGCAAGTTGGCGGAGGTAGTCGGAAGGGCCAACGGCCGGGCACTGGGGCTCAGGGGACGGGCCCGCCCCAACTTGCTGAAGAAGGAGTTGGAGGCCGGTGACGTGGCGGTGCCGAAGGTGCTCAGCAGGTTGGTCTCGGAGGCAGACGGCGTCAAGGTGCCCGGGTGGCTGCCCGCCCTCTCCAGCTTGCTCATGTAGGAGTCGGTGCTCATCACGGTGGGCATGGCCGGCAGGGCCTGCTGCAGGGCCTTGCTCAGGATGGGGTTCTGCGCTTGCGAGGCTGATTGCGGTTCCGGCGGCTTGGACGCGCTCTTCGAGAAGCAGGTCTGCGTCGTCGGCGACTGGCTCGAGGACATGGTGTAGATGTTCGGCGACGTCGGAGAAGAGTGCGTCGGCGCGGCGTGCGGCTGGATGGCCACGGTGAGGGCGGAGGTGAGGGGGCCGCGCGTCGGCGTCTGCAGCAGCGAGGACAAGCTCGTGGCCTCGCCGAAAGGCCGTCGCCCCTCGGGCAGCGACAAGGTGCGGCCGAACACCCCCACTCTCCCTATCGTGGACGTCGCCGTCAGCTTGGCCCGGGGCAGGCTGGGCAGGAGGCATAGCTTTCTGCCCAGCGAGTCCGTCACTTCTTGCGACCCAGTCAAGCGGGCGCGCTTGGTGGGGACGAGCGTGGTGGCGCCGGGCCGCGGCACAGCGGTGTAGTGAAAAGGCGTGCTATTCATGCCAACGGAGGGGACAGCTTTCTGCTCCGTCGGTTTGGCCGATTTTTCAGACGTCGCCGCGTCCCCGGCGATTGTCTGTACCGGCTGCCTGGCGAGGGGGTGGAGGGGGACGGCATTGAAGGCGGACTGCCATTTCGCGAGCGAGCAGCTCTCGGCTTTCGCAGCGCCGGCAGCGCCACTGGAACTGGAGGGCGCCGGTGGGGCGGGGCTCGGTGCTTTGTCCTGCTTCGCGGCATCGCGCGAGGCCGAGGCCAAGCCCGCGTTCTCATTAAACTTCCATATTGGGTAGAACGGCGCGAAGCTGGTTTCCTTGCCTATTGACTTGGCCGAGGCGGCCGGCACCAAAGTCGCTGTCTCCTCTCGCGGTATTTTCGCTTTGCCCGATGAGGCCTCCGTCACGGCCTTGCTTGTGCCAGGGCTCGGCCTTTTGTCCAGCAAAAGCTTCGACGTGGTCTTTTTGGGGGTTGCAGTGGGCTCTTGCTTCGTGTCAGCCGGTGTGCTTACGGGGTTGCTTTCCGCGGCTGGTGCTTCCCCACTGGCCGGATCACCTGAAGCAGGTGTGCCAACGACTGGCACACAGGCGGCGTCGGCGGCTGGCGACAGAATTGTTGACGTGATGGGCTGGGTCGCGTGCGAAAGTGGCTCGTTGGTGGGGGTTGGCAGCTCTGCAGGTGGCGCGGCCGGTGCGCAGGTTGGCTCTCCTGTTTCGGTATTGGACGCGGCAGGGAGGGGAGCCTCCTGAGTGGAGCAAGTCTTGTCGGATGCCTTGACGTCTGCGGGTAGCACCAGCGAGAACGCCTCAGACGGAGCCTCACGCTCCTCAGTGCCTTTCGGTGTCAACGCGTCTAATTCGATCGGAACGGCTCGAGTTTGCTCCGTTGGTACTGCTCCCTCCGCACTGCCAGTCGAGACTCCCTCCTCGCAATGAGCTGTCGTTTCAACCGCGCTGCCGGCAGTTGCCTCCGCTGCGATGTCAGCTGCTGCTTCTACTGCAGTGTCAGCTGTTGCGTCCATCACGGTGTCAGCCGCTGCTCTGGTCGCGTTTTCAGACGGTGTCACAGCATCCTTCGATACTTCGACCGCGGTGTCGGTCGCTGTTGCGATGCCAATGTCAGTCAATGCCTCGTTCTTGCTATCAGTCACGGCCGTCACTACATCAGCTGCCACCTCCGTTTCGGATCTGCCCTTTCCTTGCTCGATGTCTGCGGCCGCTTGGGTGCCAATTTCAGCGCCTGTTTCTATTGTGTCAGCGGTTTCTTCTGTCGTCATGTCAGTGGTTTCTTCCACCGTCGTGTCAGTGCTCTCTTCTACCGTGGCGTCGCTGCTTTCCCCCATTGTCTCCGCGGTTCCTTTCGCCGTCGTGTCGGCGGGCTCCTCTGTCGTTGGGTCGGCGGCGTCGTCGTCGGCGTGGTCGGACGGGCCGTTCGCGTCCGTCTCCATGGCGAAGGCCTCCTCGCCCTGCTCCTCCTCGCTCTGGGCGGTGCTGCTGGCCTCGTTGCTGTTGGGGGAATTGTTCCGCGTCCTCCGCGAACGCGTCTGCTTGTCCTGCACTCCTGCCGCCCGGGCCGCCGCCGCCGCCTCCCTGGCCGCCGTGGAGCGGAGCGACCGCGTCGACCTCTCCACCGCCCTCTCCACCGCTTTGGGCGGGGCGGGCAGGGCTGGCAGGGCGGGCAGGGGCACGGCCTTCCGCGTCGGCGACGGCGTTTTCTTGGCCGCAGGGGCCGCGGCGCCGCGCCTCTTCCCCCTACCCTTTTTCCGAAAGCCGCCTTTTTTCGTGTCATTTGTCTGTGGTTCGGGTGGCAGTGCTTTGGGGTCAGAGGGTTTGCCGGAAGCTGTGAACACAAGCCACGCAGTGTTAGTTGACGGGCCAGGATTCGTAAGGTTAGGTTAGTGAAAGAAACAGTATAAGAAGGGGAGAACAACGCTCGCTCGTTCATCAACAATCAATTAATCAACAACAACAACATTTATAACAACATCAACAAACCCATCGGAAAAATGAGCAACAACAAAAGCATGGAATGTGTGACAGAAAGGGGCCACACTTTCATTTATTCAGCAACGCCAATGTCCTAAGTTGGCGTTGCAAGAAACATAGTGAATAAACAAAAGTGCAAACGCGCTCTTGCTTTTAAAAAAGCAGGGCTGTCGAAATGTGTGCGAAACACAGGGCATCCTTGGCCTTCTGCAGCCAGCGCCCTCTGCGCAGCATTGATAGTTTGAGTTTGGGGCGAAGAAGCATGCGGGGGAGCCAACCACCAATCAAGGCAGGCAGGCGTACACACAACACCCGCGGCAACTCCACACGCAGTGCCACAGTTCTACACACCCAACAGTTCGTAAAACTGCGACCCGGTCTGCAGGAAATCTGAAAGGGGACAAAAGAAATCGGTCAGTCGAGCGAAAAGCCAATGCTACATGTATGGCCGGGGGAAAAAGTACGGGGCTCCGTGTCCGGAGTCCGGAGGGGAGAAGGAACCGAGCCATAAATCCTGCGTCTGGGCCAGCCAACAGTCCGCTCACGAACGCCTTCGCTTTTTCACTGAGGTCACCTGGCAGAAGGGCGCACGGCAGCGTCACGTCCTCGCCGCTGTAACGAAGGCCTTTCTACGTTTCTTTGACGGCGTCCATGGCAAGCTGCAACTGCAGCACCAAGGCATGGCCAAGGCGCCGCGCAATCCGAGTGATTACAGCGGCCGGTAATGGAAGTGCCACTCACCATCAGTGAAGCTGTCCACCCGGGGGTCGCCCGGGGAGTTGAGGCCGCCCTTGACGAACACGGCCGCGTCCAGCGAGACGAGGGGCGACCCCAGCGGCGACTCCAGCGGCGACGCCGGGCCCATCATGGTGCCCATCATGGTGGAGCCAGGACCGTCGCCGCGCACATCGACGAGGCTCATGGTCTGCAACAAGGAGAAGACGAGGCGCGGTTATTGGCAGGAAAGGCGCCGTGATAACCACCAGGATGCAGAGCGTTTGTCAGGGCGGCGCCAAAGAAACGGTGCGTGCGTGTGTGTGTGTGTGTGTGGGGGGGGGGGGGGGGGGGTCCTAGGGTCGGAGGGACGTTTTCGCGTGACCCGGCCGAAAGGGTTCCGACATAAATTCGTTCACAATGCGCCATGCGGCCATGCCGCCGGAGCCGCCGGGCCGGCCCCCTGTTTTTGGGGCGTGTACGGGGCCGTGCCGTCCTGGCGGGCTGGCGGTCCGGCGTGCCGTGGGATGCTGAGTAGGGGACGGGACGGTCAGTGTGCCACCGCGGCAAGCTGTCGGGAAGGGCCCGGTAAATTGTGCTGGGGTCGGGGGGGGGGGGGGGGCACTCCCGGGCCGGGCCCGGGCCCTCCGACCCACGCGGCGAATGCGTACATCATGGCGCCAGAGTTCTGCAGCTGGCGCCGCGGCAAAGAGAAAGAGAGCGCCCCGGAGTGGAGCTCCCCGCCAGCGCGCCAGCGGAAAGGAAATTTACCGAACAGACTGTCGCCCCGGTGTGTCGTCGGGTCGGAGGGGGCAGCGGAGGGAGGAGAGGTACAGGGGAAGGAGAGGTGCAAAAGCCGAAAGCCCCTTGGGTGGCCCATGCCACGCCCTAAGCACAATACCGTGTTATGGTAATGCCGGGGTCAGCCGATGCTGGACAGGTTCACGTCACCGCGTGGAAGGCCGGCCCGCCCGAGTCGCAGTCCCGGAGCGCGGCCCTGGCGTAACGGATGGAATGCAGAGAGGGCCGAGGCCTGCCTGTGCTAGCCTAAGGACGCCTGTGGCGTAGGCAATCCAATGCACCCGAGCGCACCGCGCTGCCTACCCGCCGGGCGCTCACACAGCCTGCGAGGTAGGCAATCCAATGCACCCGAGCGCACCGCGCTGCCTACCCGCCGGGCGCTCACACAGCCTGCGAGGTAGGCAATCCAATGCACCCGAGCGCACCGCGCTGCCTACCCGCCCGCCTGCTCCGGGCTGAGCGGCAGAGCGTTAGAGCGGCAGAGGAGGATTGTGAGGTTAGCTACAGCTGCTCGGCGCGGCCCGGCCGGATCCAGCCCCCACGGCCACGGCACCACGGAGCCGGCAGCGACAGTGAGGGCTCCCGGAGGCCTCCTCGCCCAACGGCGGGGCCGGCTTAATAATGCAGCCGCTGCACGCCGCCCCGCCGCGCCCCAGAGGCACCTGGGGCCGACAACAACTTGAACACGACGTGAGTGAATACGCAGGGGCGGCCGCTCCTTGCGGCCCGGGGGCACCGCGCACGCTAAGGGGCCACCCCCCTCCATTCCTCCCACTTCCGGCCTGGTCCATTTATCCAGTGCCGGACCTGGAGGCGGTCCGGCCCACTATTTGCATTGGCGTGCCCGGGGAGGGGAAGGAGGTCACCGCAATCAGACCAATTCGCATTGCCGTTCGTGCACATGGAAAAATGACCTTTCTCATCGAGTGAAAAGAAATTATTTGAATAAACCAAGGAAACGAAAAATAAAAAAAAAAGTCTGTTTCCTGGGTGCGCGGTAGTGCAACAGCACTGCGGTGCAAAGCCGTTGCTAAGCCACGTGTGCACACAGCCAACCTCTCTAACGCTCTCTAACGTGTGTCGGCTCTGCAGGCTGCAGCTTCCGAGAAGCAGGTGGCGTCCACGCGACTGCCTCTCTCGCACTCACGGGCCTCTCGTGATAGAGGCAGAGCGACGGCGCCGCCTTCATCACGAGCCATCCATTTTCATTTTCCAAGTACAACCGCCCGCCTCACGCCGGCGAGAATATTTCAGTCCGCCCGGCCGTGTCCTTTCTAATGGAGGCGTCTATATCTGTGGCGAAGTTGACAGTCACGGCTGACGTCAGCACTAGCCCCCGCAAAAGGCGACCCCGCGATAACAGTGTCACGAAACCCTAGCGAATAAAGATTCGACTGAGTCACTCATACAGTGACGCTTGCAAGAACGCTTCATTCCGATCGTTAACTTTGTACGCATGAAACAAATGCCAGGGCGTTTTTTTGTCAGGTTTGTCGGCTCGGGCTGTCGGGCTGGTGGCATCCTCCTTTATTCGGCCAGAGTGAGGGGTCCTTCGGGATGCGGCGGCGTGCGGCGCCGGCCACGGTGTATTGTGCACCCCGAGGCGGCTCGCTGGCCCGGCTCGCCCGCGACCCTCCCCCTTCCCCTCCCCGCCGTCCTAGACTGCCGATATTAATCCGATCCGGTCCGGGCCCTCGGACCCGGGGCACGCCCGGGCAGGGGCAGGTAGGGCTAGGTAGGGCCTATGCAGGCAAACCCGGAGTAGCAGGAGAAGCGTGGATGGGGTCTGCGCCTGCGGTGGTGCGGCCTGAGCCTGCCCACGCCATCCCACGCAATTCGCAGCAGCAGCACTCTCGAATAAGCCAGATTGACTTTGTCGGAAATATGCCAGATGATGGTTGCAAAAACAAAACACAAAAAAGAAAAACCCCAGCGCTCTTCTGGTTTGTTTATTATTCTCACCGTACAAAGCTGACGAAAAAAAGACAGATTAAACGCTCTGCATTTGAACTGTGCTCCTCCCCTTTGAACCAAGAAGAACGAGAAAACAAGGGGCGAGGATTAGAACCTCAGATGAAAAGCGTGTCGACGACGCGGCGAGGAGGACGGTGGTAGCTCTGACGGCGCCGTGCGGCCGTACGGGGCGGGCAACTTTGCCACCTCCGACGAGGCGCTTCTGGGGCCTCCGTCATCAGACCCACCCTCTGTGTGAGAGAGAGAGAGAGAGAGAGAGAGAGAGAGAGAGAGAGAGAGAGAGAGAGAGAGAGAGAGAGAGAGAGAGAGAGGCACGGAGAGATTGCATGTCGTGTGGCTGTGGGGCGTCCTGAAGGTCTGAAGCCCCCCCAGCCGTGAGGGGGGCACAAGTTGCTTTCTTGCCGGGGCAGGCTACGCCAGGCTACGCCGGGCAACGCTGTCATTCCCCACCTGAAGGCCATTTCCTGCACCTGGCCGCCGGGCCGCTGGGAGGCCCCACCACCTAAATGGAGCCCGTTTTTAACCACCTCGTTCCGAGTACCCTCCATCGGAAAAGTGGCTCCCCCACCGCCCCTTTTGGAAACACCGCCAGGCGAGAACGAAAGCTTCGGTTCCACTTGAAGTTTGCCTCGGTGGCTTCAGTCAAGGGCTTCACTGGTCACGTATACAATTATTTTCCGTAATTCAGCGACAAAAATTATATTTTTAAGCAATAATTTTTTTTCGGCGTGTGGCAGAAAGAGCCTCTGCCTGTAACAAAAACCATGTGGGCTCAGCGAGCGCGCACGGACGCACGACGGCTTTCAGAGGTTCGGGGGGAAGTGGCACCTGGCGGAACTGGCGGCACACTGCAACCGGAACCGGCACGCCAAGCTCATCGTGGGCGTCGTTCGGGGGGCCGCGGGGGCAGCGGAGGGGGCTCGGGGGCCCCGAGGGCCGAGGGGAGGGTCACGAAGTAGTACAGCAAACGGACAGAAATAGGCGCGCGTCGGACGCATTGTCTCTGACAAGGCCGACACGTTTGCCAGACTCTCTGTCTCCCACACAGTCACACACGCACCTCCCCTCCCCTTGTCTCGTCCGCACACACACACACACACACACACACACACACACACACACACACACACACACACAAACACCCACACACACACACACACACAAATACGCGCGGCGAATCCACCTCAAGCGCTGTGGCAACGGTCCATTTGGACTGATTCGTCATTGCAGACGGCTAGAACAACGGTGGCTCGAAGACCCCCCCCCCCCCCCACCCCCCACTCGCACACCTGCGCTCGCTACAAACTTCACCCTAATTCATCGAACCTGAGTCGATCACGCTCGCCTGCCAGCAGACCCGTTCCGCCACCGCAGTGCCACCCAAATTACGGCCTTCTCCCCCGCCGGCACACAGTGGGACAGAAAGGTGAAAAACGGGAAAAAATAAATTGAGTACGGTTCTTCACTAAACCGACCATGCTGATTTCAAAAATGAAAACCATTTGAAGAAACCCGGTTCAAACCATGCAGGTTTCGTGAACTGAAAAAAATCCATTGCAGATAGAAAGATGCGGTTTTCAAATTCGGATTCCTCATGAAAAATTGAGTCAGAAACCGTCGGAAAATATTCCGGATTAAAGGTTTGATACCCGAAACCCCGCCCAAAACCCCAAATTATGACGAAAATCCTGGGTTTCATTAAATTATCTAAAATTCCACATGAGATGGAAGGATGCGGTTTTCAAATTCGGATTCCTCATGAAAAACTGAGGCAGGAACTGTCGGAAAATATACCGGATTCAAGGTTTGAAACCCGGAAACCCGCCAAAAACCCCAAATTATGACGAAAATCCTAGGTTTTAAAAGAATATCTAAAATTCCACATTAGATAGAAGGATGCGGTTTTCAAATTCGGATTCCTCATGAAAAACTGAGTCAGGAACCGTCGGAAAATATACCGGATTCAAGGTTTGAAACCCAGAAACCCGCCAAAAACCTCAAATTTGGACTAAAATCCTGGGTTTCAGAATATTATCTAAAATTCCACATGATATAGAAGGATGCAAGTTTCAAATTCGGATTCCTCATGAAAACTGAGTCACGAACCGTCGGAAAATATACCGGATTCAAGGTTTAAAACCCGAAAACACGCCAAAAACCCAAAATTTTGACAAAAATCCTGGGTTTTATAATATTATCTAAAATTTCACATGAGATAGAAGGATGCGGTTTTCAAATTCGGATTCCTCATAAAAAACTTAGTCAGGAACCGTCGGAAAAATGCCGGATTCAAGGTTTGAATCCCAGAAACCCGCCAAAAACATGCAGAAAATTTTTTTAAACTTTGATGTTTTTGGCGCGTTTCGGGGTTTCAAATCTTACATCCGGTATATTTTCGACGGTTCCTGACTCAGTTTTTCATGAGGAATCCGAATT